CATCAGACCAGGAGGAAAAGAAACAAGAAGAAGCTGTGTCATACACATGCAGATGGATTCTAGTTGCTCGTGCTTTAAACCTCTGAGCTCATTAGTGTTTATGTCTGTTAGACCTGCTTTAGACCAATACAGTGAGAATGGTTACACCTTCTTTGGTGGACCATCAGATCAAGTAAATACACTGGCATTTAATTTGGCATCAACTCTTTTACATGCAGGTTTGAAACTTTAAGATACAAATGCTACCAGTACAAATTTTGATCAACTAGTAGTGATAGAATAATCTGTAAATAAGTGCAAGGGATATGAAAATGCTTGTGTTCCTAATTGTGTTAGGGTAACAAAACTACTGCAAAATTGACAGTTGCTAAAGTTTGCAGAAGTGAATGACTGTGCATAATCATGAAATAAAAGATGCCCTCGGGGAAGAAATGGTCAGAGGGGGACTGACCGAGAACTCGAACAGTTCTTCGACTGTGTTCCTGAATCCTCCTAATTGTTAAGTATGTCCACCTGAACCTGACAGGTAGAGTTTGAGATTCTCTTTTCTCCACTCTGTATATTTCTTTCGACAATGAATCACGTGCACCATGAATACCGTGGATGTGCTTCAGGAAAAGCTGTCTTAGAGTGTGCACTGTTATCCATAACTTTATATTCATAAAGTCCCCTCTGCCTCAGCAGTTTTTGGCCCTACTCATGAGTCCATTATAAGTCAAGCCATTTAGAACAAGTCTGAACTTTTATTTTTGCTGCAAGCAAGTGTTTGGACAGCACTTAACATGCACTTATGACTTAAACACTGGTAACACTGAAGTAAGATACGATTGGTTTAGGATCTAGGTTAGTGCAGCTACATTTGATCAGCGGTATAGTGCAATAAAAGGCAGTGATACCTTGGCTGGCCATTGAATCACACTCCCTCTGTCCATGTTTATACAGTCTTGGTCATAATCCTCACTCTCTTTTCCAAGTGTCCTACTCTGTCTACCGTCCTACCTCTAAATAAAGGGTTGAAAGTCCCCACAAATCCCCCCAGAACACCGAAAAAACAAGAGGGACCAAAGCCTTGAAGCAAAAAGACATTAAAATACAGGGGTGTCCGATAACAGAAGAACAAATCCAAATGATGGGAATCATATTAATGCAGTTCAGGTGTTATAAGGAGTATGGCTTCTATCTTATATCACTATGGGATTACAGTCTCTGGTGTTATAACACGAGTGACTCTAACCATAAGTAAAGCATGTCATATGCAGGTCACCTGTGGCAGGAGGATTAATATTAATATTGCACTGAAGCTGTGTTGCATTATACAGCACATTGGTGATGTAACTGATGTACCCTATAGACAGCTTATGACCCTGAAGAATAAAAAAACTCCGATCAGTCTTTTTTGACGGGGGTGGCCAAACACGGGCACTGACTTCTATAAGGAGTGGTTAAGTGAGGTAAACTAGGAGCTTACCTTTTACTTAAGAGGGTTATGTTTATTAATCATGAGTACTTTAACTTCTCTTTTTTTTAAGATTTATTTTTGATCTTTACTGACAGATAGAGGACAGTGGATAAGGCAGGAAACAAGGAAGAGAGCAGGGAATAACATCAACATTATCACTAACTTTTAAGATAACTTGACAGACTGGCAATATTTAAATCTACTGAAATCACTCTTTAAGGTTTGAAATTGAAATATTTGACCAAACTGTCTCTCGGCTTCATGCTAAGACAATGAGTTACTTAAGTTTGTAAAATCTGCATTTCACCATGCTTAACAAAATTGATTAAAAAATGCCAGTCTCCATCCCCGCCAACAGACAAAACAGCTGAACGGCTTACAAAAGAAGACAGAAGCAGATTCAGAAGGCAACATGGAAAAGATTTATGTGGGAGACAAACAACAGGCAAACAAAAAGTAGCAGTGAAAAAGGTGACAGTTTGCTGCTGGAAAAACTCTCCATGTGTAAAAGTCAGCTCAGACTTTTTTTTTTTCTCTTTCCTTTTTTCTGTCAGAGGTAGCAGAGAAAAAGCTCACTCTCAGACTCCACATGGTCCATCTTCATGGTTTAAATTCCTCTATGGTGGAAAAGTGAAACACATTTTTTATTGCTCAGGGCAAGAAAGAGAAGAAGTGAAATCAGAGAGAGGGGGAAGGAGGGAATGAGAATTGAAAAAAAAAGTGGTTAAATAGTGCAGGCAGGAAAAGGCCTTCTCTCTCTCTCTTATTACCACCTGAAGAAAGGCCATTGCCATTAGATTGAAATTTAATTTACGGAATTGTGTTTTAATGCAGCTGTTCACCAGCAGCCCATTGCAAATACGCTTTCTGTCAGTGCATTTCCTGAGGGCCATTTAATTGGGCTAATGAAGAAAGCTGCTAATGGCTGGGTTTATCTCTGGCGGCACTGGTGACATTTCATCAAGGCAGGTGATTTTCCCGGCGTTGTTTAAACCCGGTGTGTCGCATTTTGTGGTCAGGGAAGCAAAGAAAGTAAACATGATGAATGATACGTGCTGTAAAAAATATCCTTTTTGAAAAGAGGTGAGTCTACATTTCTACATTGGAGATTAAACGATATTCCCCACACATGGTGCTAATCATGTTCTTTGAGGCGTTTGGCTTGTTTTTTTTTTCCTTATCATTTCCACTCTAGGTTTTCACGTGTGGGAACACCTACACAACTGCAAGACTTCAAAAGAAGGTACACACAGCATACAAAATATGCAAAGCATTTGAATAGACCCACACAGGCGGAATACAAACAACACACGGTATGCAGATAGAGTCAGTGATGTGACATTTACCTTCATCAGTTATCAACATCTTGACATTAGTACATCAAACCTGCTGTTTAATAATGAGCTTTGGTCACCATCCGGCAAACGAATGCTTCTGACACTCTTGTCATTCCCTCCTGTCAGAGATAAAGGTCAGTGAGAAAGTCAAAGAGGTCGAGACCCGTGTTTATACATGGATCGACTACATGATTATACTGAACAAAGCTGACATGTTCAAATAGCAATACCTAATGAAGGGCATGGACAAAGTCTAACAAAACTGCAGCTATATTAAAAGTGTCAAATCAACTTATGAGAAAAAAGTCTCGATGGCTGTGATCTTACATTTCTCTGGATGTGTAATAAAGTTATGGTTTGTTATTAAGTCCTGCTGTGGGTGGCACATGTGTGGAAAAGCTTTGATGATAGTTTCCCTCCTTTGTTCTTGCATTAGTTTTTGTTCTGAAGTCCTTACACACATGAACAATTGTGTGTTTGCATACACGCCTTCCAGTTCTGCAATTATGGTTTATTTTCACTGAGGATTAATCTTTTTCATATTTTCTCTGCTAATTGTGGTATGAAACACCAATTAAACTTCCTAACATTGCATGTGATGTCTATAAATCCCTCGGTGTTTTTTCTTAACCAGCAGAAAACACAAAAAAAGGTGGATAAGCTACAACATTGGAGACAAAGAATAACACCATAGAGAGGATACAAATTCGAGGATTAATGCCTCAGATTGTTGTCAATTATCGTCTGCATGTCCTTGCAGTTACAAAACCAGAAAACAAAGGACCACTTCTGTTACTTCTTCACTTGAAAACAACGATTTACAAGACAGGTGTAATGAATGACTGGCAAGAAAGTTTCCAAGTTTGAATGGAAAAACTTAAGGGGGGGTTTCTTCAACTACCTGCTGTAATCATAACGCTGTTTTCTATTTCATGAAACCTGGGTATTTCACAATTTTAATTACATGCAAAACATTTGACATAATTATTGCTGCATGTGGCAGAAGCGACCAGCGTTATAATGAGAAGTAATTTCATGACTTCTGGAATGGGAACAGAGAGTACTTCAAGTGTAAAACTTTATAATTAAGGTTTCTACGTGAGTTTCTTAAGTCCAAAGTTGGCTTTAACATGCTAGACTCTCATGCATGTGGAATGGAAATGAGAATGAGAGGGGTGCTTAGAATATAAAACATAGAGATCGTGTAATTGTCATTTATCAGCTGGATTTGTTTACTTTATAATGAAGATTTCTGCAAGAGTATCTTAGGTTAAAATTGGCTTTAGCATACTAGACTCTCATGCATGTGGAATGGAAATGAGAATTAGAGGGGTGCATAGAGTATAAAACATACAGATCATGTAATTGTCACTTATCAGCTGGATTTATTTACTTTATAATGAAAGTTTCTATGTGAGTATCTTAAGTCAAAGTTGGCTTTAACATATGAGACTCTAATGCATGTGGAATGGAAATGAGAATGAGAGGGGTGCATAAAATATAAAACAAAGAGATCATATAATTGTCATTTATCAGCTGGACTTATTTTGTCAATATTTAAGATGACTATTTTGTTTTCTATTAAACAGGATTTTAGTTTTTTCTCCGGTTTAATAACATGGAAATGTATTCTAAATATTATAACAGTAATTATTATCATAATATGCAAATAATTATAATAAGTAACCTATGTAGTGTTGAGCAGATATCTAATATGAAGGTATTTATACAGATCTTTTTAATGCATACAAATAGATTTATTGTAAAATCTCTAATTTGCAAGGAAGGGGCAGGACTAGATAAACTCTTTGCTTTATTTTGTTCCTTCTCAAACTGTTTATTTTGACATACATATGTTGTGTAAATTTATCTTTAGCATGTCCATTTTGTTTGGTGTCTTTGTTTCTATTTGGGTTTTTTGGTTGTTGTTCTTAAAGTTTGAGTTAAACAAAGAAGAAAGAAAGAAAGAAAGAAAGAAAGACTTCATTTCCTCCTCAGTGTCTATTTTTGATTCATGGACCAACTGAAAATTTCAAACCGCTGAAGTCATGCCCCCCAAACATCCTTTGGCAAGTCTGTCCAACTGCACGGTTTTCCTCTATTGTAAACAACAATGAACTGTGATATTTGAAAAAACACAGATGCACCACCGGTGAACTACGAGCCACCAATCATTTGTAGTCTGTACCCGAAGCGGCTTTTGAATCCCTCCTCTTCTTCCCACCTCTTCAAATTCATTGGCTGCCGGAGGAGTAGCGACAATGTTTAATGCACCATGCGGTGTCCGGAGTTCAGTCAGTGAGAGGAAGCGTTCAATGTGCTTAGGACTGTTTTACGTGCGGGAAATACTAAAGAACGACAGTGCGTACATATTCAAGAAAAGCACCCTCCTTTTTTGCCTGACAGCAGCGGAGAGACTTGTGGCAGAATGCGGGGTTGTTGCTGACCACCTCCTCAGCAGCTGTCTCTCGATTTCTCTCTCTATGTGTGGACTTTGACGGAGGGGGGACACGGACAAGGACAAAATGCCACACCGGGAATCAGTGTCTCAGCGCTGTTTCGGGCAGGGAGCGAAAAACCCAAGCGCTTTTTGAAAAAATATCCAACTTTGGATCTACCTTAGTACACATCTGGATTTTTCTCCTCTTCCTTCTTCTTCCTCCTCTTCCACGAACAGTTTTCCTTCCTGATGAACGGTGACTCACTGCAGGCAGAAGGCGAGCCGCTGCATCCTAATCAGACAGCGGAGAGGACTTCAGCTCATTGACATTACAGTCATACTTTTCTGGAGCACTTTTTTTTATTTCCACTGCGCTGCACTGTAGCCTGAGCGTGCATCGGGAGCTTGTGGCTTTTCTCCCCCTCGCACACACACAGAGGGAAAGAGGATACGGGTGGTACCTACTCTGCTGTGGTTGTGGGGATGAAACTCTCCTTGAACCCTCCTGGAACTGACTATTTCCATTTTACAGCTATATTTTCTGGACTATTACGGCACTTTCCCTTGGTAAGTTCACATTCTCACATTAATCTTTTAAGGGTCTCATCTCTAATTTCTCGGTCTGTTGCTCATTTCCAAACGATTTTTTTTTATTCCTGTACCATCCCTGTGCATGCGAATGCAACAGCTTCTCTCAAGGACCGTTGAATCTTGCAGAGAGAGAGAGAGTGAGGGAGAGAGAGCATCATTGGAGAGAATTACACGGCTGCGCCGAGATGTTGGCAGCTCATTTCCGAATTTTTATAAGGCTCATTGTGAATATCCGGATTATGCGGATTTGTTAATGCGTGTAAGAGGCTCATTTTATACACACTTATTTAAATAGCCGCCACAATAGGCCATCTTTAGTTGTACGCCTGCAGTGTGACCATATTATTAAAGTTGCCCTATTACAGTTTCATCAACAGTCTCGTATTGTGTGAATGGGCCATTATCACGCCAGGGTCAGGTCGTGCATTGCACATTCAGGGTACATGAAAAGCTGCATGCGTCTTGTGCTCCTAATAGTGCATGTGGTAAATATGCAACATGAGGAGTCATTACATCCATGTGTATCGGGGCTGCGCTGAGCATCTTCCCAAGGTTAACTAATTGACAAGCTTCCCCCATAATTGTGGAGATGAATTACACATGAGCCCTGTTTCATTTTCAGCTCAGCGGTAGATCTGATGTCTCCCTGGCAGTATGGCTTGTGCAGCTAAGTCTATTTTTATTTGGGTGACTAATTGAAACAGACTTTATAATAAATATATCTTCTTTTTCTGTTTTTTCCTCTTAGGTGGTATGAGTGAACGCTTACAATGACTATTCTGTTTGGGGACTGGATCGCGATTATTGCTCAGATGAGTCTGGGCGCTCAGCTGAATATAAATTAGGTGTTTGGCTCTACAGATTGCTGGAAGAGGCAAAGGAAAAGGGAGACCGAGCAAAGACAATCCACAAAGACAAATGCCAAGGCCTCACATGATGAACATGACTCTTTATATGATCCCTAATAATAGAAATACCACATTTGGACAAGAAATCAACAGGTCAAAGGAGGCATAAAGACAACAGATAATAGCGGCTTTTACAGCGTGGGGATGTATCTTTCTATTTTCTTTTTCCTACTCCTATGGGCTCAAGCCCTGACATTGAAAAACTTGAATTACTCTGTCCCGGAGGAACAGGGTCCAGGGACAGTGATTGGGAACATTGCCAAAGATGCCAGACTTGGACTGGAACAGACCGGGCAGGGAGGACAGGGTAAGAAAGCCAACTTCAGGGTGCTGGAGAACTCGGCTCCGCATCTCATCGACGTAGACCCCCAAAGCGGACTGTTGTACACAAAGCAGCGCATCGACAGGGAAACATTGTGTAAGAGAAACCCCAAGTGCCAGCTCTCCATGGAGGTGTTTGCCAATGACAAGGAGATCTGCATGATCAAAATAGATATTCAGGACATTAATGATAATTCACCAACTTTCCCCTCGGATCAGATCGATATTGACATTTCTGAAAATGCAGTGCCAGGGACACGCTTTCCTTTGACCAGTGCACATGACCCTGATGCAGGAGAAAATGGCCTGAAAACCTATCAAATAACACGCGATGACTACAATCTCTTCTCCTTGGAGGTAAAATCCCGAGGAGACGGGACCAAATTCCCAGAGTTAGTTATTCAAAGACCACTGGACCGAGAAGAACGGAGTCATCACACCCTCATTTTGTCAGCCACTGATGGGGGGGAATATCCGAGGTCGGGTACCATGCAGATAAATGTAAAAGTAATTGATTCAAATGATAACAGTCCCGTGTTTGATCAGCCCTCTTATGTTGTCGAAATTCCTGAAAATTCCCCTCCTGGAAAAGTTCTGATCGATTTAAACGCAACAGATCCTGACGAGGGCAACAACGGACAAGTGGTCTATTCTTTTAGTGGTTATGCCCCAGAGAGAATCCGAGAGCTCTTCTCCATAGATTCCAGGACAGGGGTCATAAAGATTCAAGGTGAAATTGACTATGAAGAGAGTCCAGTTATTGAGATTGACATCCAGGCGAAGGATCTGGGTCCCAATCCAATCCCAGGCCATTGTAAAGTCACTGTTAAAGTGCTCGACAGGAATGATAACTGGCCATCTATAGGCTTTGTGTCAGTGAGACAGGGGGCCATCAGCGAGGCAGCACCTCCAGGCACTGTCATTGCTCTGGTTCGTGTCACAGACAAGGACTCAGGCAGGAATGGGCAGCTTCAGTGCAGAGTGCTGGGTAATGTCCCTTTTAAACTTGAGGAGAACTATGATAACTTCTATACGGTGGTGACAGACAGACCCTTAGATAGAGAGGTGCAGGACGAATACAATGTCACTATTGTGGCAAAAGACAATGGAATTCCTCCCCTTAATTCCACGAAATCCTTCACTGTAAAGATCCTGGATGAGAACGACAATGTTCCCCGCTTCACTAAATCAGTTTACCTTCTTCAGATACCCGAGAACAACATTCCCGGGGAGTACCTCGGTTCAGTTCTTGCACACGATCCAGACCTCGGCCAGAATGGCACCGTGTACTACAGCATAGTTAACTCCAACGTTAGTGGGGGGGATGTCAACACCTATGTGAATGTCAACGCTGCAAATGGAGCCATCTATGCTGTGAGATCTTTCAACTATGAGCAAATTAAGTATTTCGACTTCAAGGTTCTTGCTAAAGATAATGGATCCCCGCACCTGGAGAGCAATGCCACAGTGCGCATCAGTGTTCTGGATGTCAACGACAACATCCCTGTCATAGTTCTGCCCTTACTTCTAAATGACACTGCTGAAATCCATGTGCCCCGCAATGTTGGTGTAGGCTACATTGTTACCACAGTGAGGGCGGTAGATAATGACTATGGTGAGAGTGGGAGGCTCACCTATGAAATCTCGGATGGCAACGAGGAGCATCTCTTTGAAATTGATCCAGTGACAGGTGAAGTGCGAACAGCCCACCCATTCTGGGATGATGTGAACCCAATTGTGGAGTTGATAATCCGAGTTTCAGACCACGGCAAGCCGACTCTCACCGCAGCAGCCAGGCTCATAATCAAAGCCTCAGATGGACGTCCTCCCGATGGTCTACCGCGCACAAAGGACAATCAGAACTGGGACATGTCACTTCCTCTTATTGTAACTCTCAGCATCATATCCATCATGCTTCTGGCTGCTATGGTGACCATAGCAATCAAGTGCAAGCGAGAAAACAAGGAAATCCGCACCTATAATTGTCGCATTGCAGAGTATTCACACCCTCAACTGGGAAAAGGCAAGAAGAAGAAGATTAACAAGAACGACATCATGCTGGTGCAGAGCGAGGTGGAGGAGCGGGATGCCATGAATGTGATGAATGTGGTAAGCAGCCCTTCCTTGGCCACCTCTCCCATGTACTTTGACTACCAGACACGCCTGCCACTCAGCTCACCAAGGTCAGAGGTCATGTACCTCAAGCCCACTGCCAATAACCTCAGCGTGCCCCAAGGCCACGTGGGATGCCACACCAGCTTCACAGGCCCAGTCACCAGCACTACAGACACACCTACTAACCGCATGTCCATCATACAGGTAAGAGAAATTGCACTCCTCTCCTTCACTGTATTGCCACCACTTTCACATCACAACACTGAGAGCGCTCCTATTTCCTATATCAACCCCACCCACCCCTGTTTTGTAAAATAGAAGAAAGAGAAGATAAGGACAGGCAGAAAGCAGAGAGGCCCAGAAGCACAGAGAGAAAAGAGGGGAGGAGAGGAGGAGGGGAGGGAGAGAGGCTGAGCATTAGAAGGATTAAACAGTCATTCCAGTATTCTCATAGAACAGAGCCACTGACATCAACACAAATCAGTTGTGCTTGAAATATGTCACGGCAGGCTTTTGAGATCCGTTTTCATGTTGAATTTTTTCATTAATCACTCTATCACTGTCATTTCCTTCCTGTGGGATAAAACCATTAGACTGTGGCTGTGAGTTATAAGCAGGTACGGCTTCTTTATTTGGTGTCAGATATTAACACATCCCTATCCGAGTCTACTTTTTCAAAATATATACCCTCTTATATGCAGTATTACATTAACTAACCTGGAACATCTACAAAGTCACAATGAAGGTAAATTCACACAAACTGTGACGGATGCTTATTTGCATCTTAACAAGCTTGGTTTCATTGCATTACATTAGTCATATTCCATAGCTACTCGAGGTTGATTCTAGTGATTTTAATTCCTAGAGATTAGCTCACTGTACTTATTTTTGCAGCCACTTTAAACGTCTTTGTCTTGAGTACTTTGGTGTATAAGCCTCTAACCTGATAACTTCTCTATGTCTTTGGCCTTAAGCCCATTAAAAGTCTGTCGTGTCAGACGAGGATTAAGCCTGCCTCAGACAGCGGTATGTAACCATGGGGATAATGGCCAGTTGTAGCTAAAAGTGTATTTTTGTCTGATGTTTACTGCTTTCATGATTCTAATGTAATTTGATAGCAGGAGTGAAATGATCTCAGTTAGCTTAACAAAGCGTTCTTTCAATGGCCTTGTACATTTTGGCAACATTTCAGAGTTAGATTTTCCCGTTACATGCTGATGGACTGTAATTATTAGCCTCTCAATTAGGCTCTCTTGTGCCTTTTCAGTCCTACTTTTTGCACTGGATGTGGATGTGACGATGACCGTGATCAGATCTGACGTGTTCCCACCAGGGAGGAAGGCCACTGTCTGTTGTTCCCACTCTCAGTCTCAGCCTTGCATCTATTATGAGCCAGCTGCAAAGGGCAAGGGTCAGCACAGAGACCGTTAAGGTTTCCTAATCAGAGGGACACAGTAATTGCCTGACCATTCTGCGGTCTGTTTCTCCGCTAATGTAGTGATGATGAATTAGTCAATGTTGGGCCGTTGCACGCCCGTTTTGTGCTCTTATTTTTCTCTCTCCCATCAGAATTTCAAAGGGAAAACAAGCAAGAGCAGCAACAACACATTCCTTAGTGTCTTGTTTACAGAGGGTCCCCTGGATGCATCAGGCGTGCAGGGTGCTCTACTGTATTATTCAACAGAAACCTGTGTAGAGGGAGATGGCCTGAGGCATTAAGTTTCTTCAGAAGCTGTACAGGAGCGTATCATTTTCCTCCCTCCTCTCAGCTGCTGCCTCATCTCTCCAACCGTGTGGACAGTAAGTAACCTGAGTCAGAGGAGAGTGGCTATGGGAAAAATGTCAGGAAACAAAGACAGAATTCCCCGTCCATCGATCCCAAGGCCTTTCAGCCCATCTGTCACTACTGTTGCCACGGGAGGAAGGGCTAAATAGGAAAAATAAATAAAGAGATGGATAAAGCGTGAGAGCATACCGCCTGCTCAGGCAGTTCCACAAGGGCACCTTAGTAGTGCTGTCTTCATTTGAACCTACTGTAGCTTCCTGTAACTCCCAGTCTCTCCCCACAGTGCTGCCGGCCTCTAATGATGTTTTATAGTGGTGCACTGGCAGACAGGCTGGGTTTGGTCTCTTGCTGGGAGAGGGGAATAATATGACCATATCAGTAGAGCTCTGCTGGCCTTATCATTGTCACCAGCGTGCCAGCGCCTGGCCTGGTGGAGAGCTTCATTTCATTTCTAAAGAGAATTCCTGGGATAAGGAGATGGATGATACGTAATGATGCCTAATTCCGCTTAAGGCGTTGAAGGGAATTACTTAGTGTGGAATCAAGGTTAAAACCAATCTGCTGCAGAATTCCTCTCTGTTCAGGAAGAAGGGATTTCAGTAAATCGCTCCGAAGAGTGAGCCTGCGCCCACACGGTCTTGAATATGGTTTAGGATTTTGCCCACATAATGTTCAGCTCCAGTTGCTGCGCCAGAGTGTGGCCCACCGACTGCTTCATAACTTTCTCTGCTGCTCTCTGACTACTTTTTTTCCTTTCAAGCGGCCTTTATTGTTACCAAACATGCAAAGACTCCTGTGTCATTACTTTTAATTGGCCCATAATTTATCATATTGATTTGTTTTGATAAGTTTCGAGTGTTGTAATTTGATTCACCATGAAACTCTAATTAAAAAGACTCCTGTCTCGATGGGAGAGCATCCATGTTAATAAGGTGCAGGTGGTTCTGAGGCAAAGGGGGAGTCTGGAAGGCTAGAGAGGCTGCCTGTAGGTGGCGACATTCTGCCTTGTGTGGGGTGGCATTGAAATGAGGGTGTCAAGGAGAAAAGGGGCTCCTGACTCTGCTGACTTGACATTGTCACTCTTCGAGAAAGCTGCTGCAGCTTTAACAGAAAGTGTCACGTATGAATATGTAAAATACACATGGAAAACAGTATATTTGTGCTGGAGCTGCTGGCATGAAAGTGTTTTTTGCAGTTGATTTGAATGACAAGGATTTAATTCATCAAGCAGACACTGAATCCTTGGTATTAAAAATGGCTTCACTTGGATGAAAATCAAAAAGTAAAGCAGTTCTTTGGTAACAATTCAGGTAACGATAAACCAAAAGCTTTGAATATATCCTGAAAATGACTTAAACCCGTTGGGTGATTTGAAAAAAATGGCGAAGAGAGCAGTTTGGATCCATATCTGTGATCATTTAAGCAGCCTGGATAAAATCTAGGAGATAAATCGCTCACTACCTTGATCTGTTTAAGTTAGGCATATGCATTCAAACAATGTACTTGGAGCAGATGTTGAAACTGAATGCTTCCAGGAATGGTCTTACTCTGCATAATTTAAAGACATTGTGTGTGCGTGTATATGTGTGTGTGTGTTTCTAAGTGTGTGGGGGTGTAACGTCATTGTGTATTCCAGGCATGTGATTTAAGCCTTTAGCTGGCAGGCTCCGTGACAGAGCCCCTCTCTTTTTTATGAGCGGGACAATCTTGCATTTGTCCGAACCTTGAAACACCCTTCCTCCAAGAAATGCACACACGCACACTAACACACACACACTAGCGCACAGAAACACGGGGATGCACATGTAACCAGGCTTTGGCTGTTTTTTAAGGATCCTAGCGAAAAAGTCTTATCAAAGCCTCTGCTGTATATTGTATTGAAATTGCTCCCACACTTCAGTGGCCACCGAGGCAATGAATTGAAAAGCGCTCTTTATTTCATTTCTCTCCCTCTCCCTTCATCTTTAGATAACTGCTTTCCTCTGGAGCTTTCTATGGAATGAATTTGGTAAACCTGAATGTAGCGAAAGCCCACTTCCAGACAGGACTGAGCAGCTCAGCCACACAATCCACACACAGTCATTTTAAGCAATGACGGACAGTTCAAGAAGTCATTTGTAATTTGTTTATTTTTGGTCCCCCAGTTGAGCTCCTCGGGGCCACTTGGCCAGAAATGTTTTATTTGAGCTTGCCAGTACATCAAAAAATGATCAGCTCACCTTCGGGTGTATCTTCATATTTCCTCAAATAAACCTGCTGCTACTGTACATAACACTACACGCTGGAATACTGAATTATTAATGGGCAGTTTTATTTTTCTTCATCTCCCTCAAGCTCATATGATAGATACAAGTCGGAGGAAGTGCAGTCAGACCACAAAATCTTGCTCTGGGGGAAGAACAGCAAATTATTTTATCTCCACATAACCAAAATATAGAAACGTAGTTACTGGATGTTTAGTTTATTGGCTGCTATTGCTGTGGCTGCTGTTTGCAGAGGAGCTTGTTGCACTACAGATGCATCAGTGTGTCTCGAAGCTGTTGCAGAAGTGTTATACTCAGCACGAAAACAGCATCTATATTTGCATCCCCTTTCATTAATAAATCATAACGTTTAACAAATCAGAGGGAAAGCGGAAGATGTCACGATAAACATTAGAGGTCTCTGGCTACATATTTGCTAACATAGCGGGGGGAAGAGGAGGGCAGGAACACGGTAATTGGGAAACAGACGCTACTTGTTTTCTGATAGAAGCAGAATTAAGCATTCGTTTACTTTCTGTATTCTGAGTGCAACAAAGAGAGGAAGGAGGGAAGAAAGTGGAGATAACTGCAGCAGGCTTTCTGTGCTGTAATGGAGTTTTCAAGCATGTAGACAGAGCCACTGTGTCCATCTTTCATCTTGAAGGTTTTCTTTAACTGCAGTTGTTCAGAAAAACTTATCTTAGTCTTGAAGTTCTTCAGAGACTCACACGATTAATAGTTCATTTTCAGATGCATAGCACCCCAAAGTTTTTGTTTAAGATTGGAGGGAGTTGTTGGAGTAAATGTATTATTCATTGCGAGTTCTAAAATGCCAAGTAACCATGCTAAATAATTGAACGTAAATCTAAGGCTTTGACTCTGCCTACCACCGGACACGGTGTCCTCTTGTAAATCTATACAAAATCCAGTCAGGCTAAACTGCAGACAGAAACAGATAGATATAAATAGAAGAAGTGATGGACAAAGATGAATGTAGAAACCGTATTGGTCAGCCATGAGGAATCCTTTCAGCCAGCTGCTGTGCATTCATGTGGACACAGTGTGTTTTTGAGCTGCATAATTGCATAATTGAACCGACCTCCTGACCTGGCAAAGCAGGGCAACAAAGGAATGGAGCTTTTTCTCAAGTGCAGAGAAAGAGGCAGGATATAAGGACACAAGCTGACCTTTGTGGTAGCCAGATAGGCCGGATACATAAATCCAATTTACTTGGTCCAACAGGAAGGGCTGCACTGGAGATGGCATGGGCATGATAAAAAGACTGTACACTGTCAGGGAGCACTCACACTGGGATTGTTGTGTCATTATGTGAGCATGTTTGATTGTGAGGAAAGTGCATGATCAAGACCTAACCTAGTAGATCTAAAAACACCTAATATTGCATGTCAGTTTTTTATTGCCTGTCCTTTTCATGGTTGTGCACGAAAGTTGAATTGTCATCCTGAAAAACCTGCAAGTTGCAAGTATTGCAAGTGCAAGCATGCATCAGGGGGACCTGTGCATTATCTGATCATGCTCTTTCTTTTTTTATTTTTTTTTAAGAATAAATGCTTTCATACAGAAAAAAAACAAAAAATTTGTTCCCCTACTACTACAACTTGATGCAGCTCGAATTGTGCTTGAATGACTCAAGCACACAGAGCCAACCTAGCATCAACAGAGGTCACAAGAAGAAGAAAACAAAACATAACCTCCTCAGTGGAGGAATCAGATTCAGCTGTCGTGTCTAAGTGTGTGCAGGACTGTACACTTGTGCACACGCACATACACACACACACACACACATGCACCTGAGCTACCACCAGCTGTGCTCTGAAGCGCTAGTCTTGCTGGTTTTCTCAGATTGGAATGGGCTCCCCCGTAGTGGCCGCCTGCCCCCTGAGGGCTCTTAGATCCCTCCTGGGGTCTTTAGACTTTAGCTCTTGGAGCAGCAGGGTGCTGGAGCTGCAGAGGTAGATGAGTGTGTTTCAGAGTGACCTCCCAGTAATGTAAGCTGAGATGCACAGCGCACAGAAGGCTACATAGGCAAACACGGCATGGCGATGTATGCTTTGAACTGCCAGCAGCTGGGTCTCCTCGCTGTAAATCAAACTCTTTCAAAGTCAAACAAAGTGGAACCCGTTCCGCTGTGTCTTGGCACGCGTCCAATTCTGAGAGAGCTTTTTATTTCTGCCACATCTTCCCTCACTTTGCCCCCTAGGCATGTGCTGTAGAAACAACACACAGCTCAAAGAATGAGTTATGTGAATCTCTCCTCACCTTCTATCTCATTAGTCTAAGAGAAATGATTTATCCCTTTCTCCCCTGGATCCCTCTCTCCTTGTCCTTGCCTTCTACAGTTCAGCACTTCTCCAGCTTCATCAGCAATGTGATGAATTGATTGGACGGATATACCATGAGCACCACCTCATTGCGTTAATTTCACCTAACTACGTGTCAAAACAAGCCACTATAAAACTCCCCCTTCTCCCTTACACAACGACTGCAGCACATTACAGTTGTTCACTCCACAAACGACAATGTGCCTCGCAATCTTAGGCATAATTTCCCCAAACAGTGTAATCCTGCCAGCGTATTGTTTGCATGTTGTGTGTGTCTCAAAGAAGATCTGACACCCTAATGGGAAAAGATCCCACAGCCTCCTCTTCTCCGACTTATATCTGGAGCACAGTTTGAAATCTGACTCCCGTGTCTGAAGCACTGTGTGTGTCTGAGGGGAATTGACGGCCGCTGTGTTTTGCAGTGGCTGTTGTGTGTTTTGTGGCAACAGAGGCGAAATGAGTCGGTCCTCTCAGATGTTATTGCCTAAACAAAAGGTCCGTTAAGTGGTGTGCACACGAGATGTGTCCCCTGAATGTTTGACTGTGTCTGCTCTTCAGGGTAGCAGTGGCTACACTGAGTGCTAATGGCAAATCAAAACTTCTGTATTAGGCTGGTTTCATCTTTTTCCATTGTACGACACAAATGTACTCAATTGGCACCTCACTGCGTTTGTGTCTTAGAAAGAAATCTTTCTGGGGCCTTTAGCATTCAGATCAATTGCTGGTTTGCTGAGTTTCTTATTGATTTTTGCTCTGTTTGGTACTGAAATACTGTATTTCATTATCTATCGCTCTGAGCATTGCTTAGTAAAAAAAAAAAAAGAATTTGTTCTCGCTCTCTCCCTCCCTTCATCCTGCTCTCTTTTCTTTTTTTGGATTCCCTTTCTTTCTCTCTGCTCTTGTCATCTCAGATAAGCGTTGCAATTGCTCATGTTACTGACGACCCAAGCCAAATTCATAATGATGAGATTATCTTGTCAACAGTACAGAGTGTATATGTCTGCCGTATTGATCCCCGCGCAGTCTTAATAAATGAAGTACCACGATGGAAGCGTTGGCTCAATGATAACTCTGAACACATCTTGGCTATTTATACACTCTCAACACTGCTGAGATGATGAATGGAACTTGTGTATTATGCCCTTCTCTATTCCCTTTTCCTCTCCTCTCTCCACCTCTCTGCTCTTCCACTTGCAGATTGATAGGGTAAAACAGCCCCCCTCTCTCTTTCTCTCTTTTTCCCCCCCACACACATTGTTTGAAATACGTCCTCTTTGAGGTCATGCTGACATGCTGAGTCGATGTACTCCCAGGTGGAGAGACATGGGTGCTGCTGTGGGAGGAACCAATCAGATAGACTACAGAGCGAGGGAGGGAGGGGGAGCAAAAGAGAGGAGGGGGGGAGAGAAAAAATTCCCAGCAGCGCTGTAGCTCAGGCCTGTGTGTGTCTCTCTCTGAATGACTGAGGTTTCAAGGGGAAGTTATCTGTGTATTTGAAGAGAAGGTCAGCAGGGTTTAGAGCTCGAGATTATGTGTGATTGTTTCTTCCGTGGGCTAGCTGATTAATGCTAAAGCTGCTCTGACAGATTCTTAATGCACAATAGACGCACTTAAAAGAGTCTGAGAGGAAGTGGCGTCCAACACTTTGACAACAGAGCATTATGCTAAAGCCTCTCCTGTCAGATTTTACCCAGGTGCAGAGACAGCATCCTTCCTTTCCTACTTCCCTCAGCCCCTCCCCTCTTCAAAATCCTCTGACCCAATACATATACAGTAGATAGGTCACCTTGAAGTGAAATTAGACATAGTCCATCTGCTGCTAGTGTGTGGGAGGAGAGAGAGGGAGCAGGGAAGAACGCAGGTGCGTGCGTGTGTTGTGCACTTGTGCATGTATTGATATCAGACATATGTGTGCATGCGTCCTGTGTGTCTGTTTTGTGAGTTTTCTTTTATCTGCGTCTGGCCTCGGCTCAGGGCTTTGGGGAAATATCTACAATCCTTTCATCCATGGAACGCCTCTTCCTACATCAATTCAAATGGAATAATTTTGGTCTTTAATGTTTTTGTTTCCAAGCTCTCGGCTTCTGTCTTGTTAACTCGCACACAAGGCAACGTTTAGTGCATGGTTAGTTTCAAAAGTAAATTAGAGAATGCTTGTTTCTTTGGTCTAATACTTCATAAGAGGACTTAATAATAACATCAGTTGGAAGGCATAGTAAACATGTGCGCTTTTCGCAGCCTGAAAACAAGTTGATGGTTTTTCACTTCAGTCTGCAAACACATATCACTTCCTTATTAGTTTTTTATCACTGTTGACACCTAAATTAATGTCACTTTGAAAACAATGAGAGAGATTTTTATTCAGTCTATTTGATGGCTGCACTTTTATTCTGCCGTTTGTGTTCTTACATTGCCCTTTCAGTGGTAATTCTTAACAGGAGGTTTTAATATACACAAACATATAGGATTATGTCTAGTATTTGAAACAGACTTGATAAAAAGACATTTTCCTATTCTACATGAAAGAATTAACCCCATTTTTGCCATTTTTAAAAAGTTACACCCAGCAGTTTGCATACAAACTGTAAGCTTGGAGAAACCGCCAGCCGTGCTCTCACCAGGTTTTACAAAATACCTGAAAGTTTTCCTATGTTCTATATATTTTATCCAGCATTATGAGTGGAAATATTTCCAATACAAGTCCAAGAATTCCTTTTGGAATTTCATGAGTATCTGTACATTTGGTTTGGAGTTTCTCCCTGAATAAGAATTCTGCACCTGTGCTTGTCCCGATGCATGATTACATTCGTGCAGTCATGTCTTAAATGCCTTTGGATTGCACACCTCTGCACCAGTGTTAGATTTTTGGACTGCGCTGGCTTTGGATTAATGAGGGTGACACAAGGTCAGTGCTGACTCAACGCTTCAGTTAACGGCCAAGCTGTTGTAACTATTGATGAGCAAGTACAGAATGATTAGTGGCTTACAGAGATCACATCCAGTACCTTTTTTTTTTTTACTGCTTCGCTCACAGTTTCGACTGTGGATAAATAATAAAACATCAACTTAAGTCCTCTGTCTTCCTCTCCTCTTTCCCCTTCGCTTAAAAGCGGACATATTTTCCCTTCATCAATAATCATAAGAGTGATCCCAGCTGTAAGCTACCAGACCAGCTGGTTGAAATGTGTCAACACAAAGTCTCTCAAGTGATGAGAGAAAACAACACTGCTATTTCAGGAGTGCCGGCGAACCGCTGTGTTAGGGCTTTCTGTGTGTCAGAATGAATATCTATGCCAAAAGCAACATTTATCACTTACTCCTGGGGCTCAACTGCCACAGATGTGGATTGTGTTGATATGAGCACAAACACGGCGTCTTGTGTCGCCCCTCCTCTTCAGAGAGGGGAAACTTTCGTCTGAGCTGGCTTCAGAGACAGCAGCAGAGACTGAGTTGGCTGCTGAATTGTTGTCAGTGTTTTTATATTTATGAAAGACGAAGCTGGTAGGAGCTCCAGACAACCTGAAGCAATACTGCGGGAGATAATTGCAAATCTAACCGGTGCGATTTGAATGATAAGTACTTCTTGCTCTTTTCAACTTGAGACCATTAAAGAGTTTTTTTTTCTCACTTTTTCTAAGAGAGATGGGGTCACAACCCATTCCAGTCAGGCTCTTTTTGTCTAGTACATTTAGATTTTAGTGCTTTTGTACTTAATGCACAGGTCCTGCTTAATGAATTTCATGTCCAGTGTTGTTCCGACTGCCCACGCCAGCAGACTGCCTCATTATATTGCGCCGCACACAGGTGTGACTGCACCTCATAATAATGACTGTGGAATGAAAAATATATATACACGCAGTCGCAGGCACCAGTTCATTCACATATGTTTATGCCATTAAATATACATACATTCTGTCTCCAGTAATGTTTCGCTGGAGGAGATGATGCATTGTAAGTAGGAATGAATGCATTAAGTCATTTAAACGTCGTCTTCCTAGCTTGATGCCACCAGGATTAACAGTGGTGAAAGAAATATTGATATTTTGATTACTGTTAGCCTGAAATGCTGCTCATATGTTGCATCTAAGCCAAAGTGCAGCCTCCTACTACAGCCATAATGTTTAATATTGTACAATATATAGAGAGAGTATAACTGCCTTGTAACCACCCAATAGGAGCAATATGTAACCAGCAAAAGCATGTAGACAATTACCTGCAAGGACTGAAAGGCTGGTGGTGCTAGCTCTGTTACTGGTAGACACACTCAGCAAACCAATGTAATCCAGTGTCTATCCATAGTAGATAAACTGTGCTTCATTTTGACTGTGTTATTCATGTTTTCTTCACTTGGAACATCCCTAATTCTTGTATTATGTTGCTCAGTTATGACAACACAAAATTATTCATAAAAAACACTACGAGAGAATCCTTGGCAGATTTCTTATAACAGAGGTGTGATTTGCAGCTCAGGCTTCTTATGGTTGGAAGTTGAGTGCATAGAAATTGGCCGAGTATTCTGGCCACACAGACCTTCAGTAGTTGCCAAAACTAATCTCACATACTTGGGGAAGTAAAATGCTCTTGAAATCCAAACATGTTGTCATAGCACAACTCAAACTTGGTGTAAGAGTAGTGTTTGATTAGTTAAAGGAGATTGCAACATTTAACCACTGGATCATCTGCATTCTCCATCTGGGTGGAAATCTGTTTACTCTGCTCGTCCAAAGAATTGACTTTTTTATTTCATCACAAAATCCTGTTCAAATAAGTCTTTTATTCTGCTGCAAAGGTACAGGTTTGACCAAAGAAATTATCATGCATAACTCAGTTCATTTGACTCCTAACTACAGTTGTGCTGTAAAATGGGTCACTTAGTTTAATCTGCCTCCATTAAGAGGGGGAAAAAATAAACTACTATATACATACATATGTATGTGTGTGTGTGCATACGTTGACAGTCTCTGCTTTAGCATCCAGCCTCAGTGTGTGTTTCCAATGTAGCAGCTTATTGTAATCTTTCCCTCAGGGGATGTTGGTCAACATCATAACACTTTATGGGTAATATCCTTTTTAGTTAGATAAGGATGATTCATTTAATAATAGCTTCATCATCCCATTAATAAATCAATTACATGCATAGGCGTTCAAAAACTGGTGATTATATATTTTATGTTATTTCTAGTAAAGAGATTATTCTGTATCACTATACGCCTGTTAAGACAAACATTCTGAGCCATTTTGGGGATGCAGGATTCAGTTTAGTCCATCATTTCATTTTCCATGCATCATAAAACAGGCAAGGCTGTAAGATCCCAAGCACCTGTAATGGTACATTTGTGTGTGTTTCTGTGTGTGTGTGTGTGTGTGTTAGAGAGAGAGAGAGAGAGAGAGAGTAAGAGAGAGAAAAACAAGTTCAAGGATACACACTCTCTCAGGAGGTTTGCATTTTATTATTCTCTACGTGAGTTGATTCTCAAGACGATAATGATGGGCTTAAGGATAGAGTTTAACAATGCTTTGTTGACCATCTCTCAGAGGCTGGGTCTGTTTATCCCTGGGAGTGTTTTTTCATGCTCTTTAGGAGTAATTTGATCCACAAAAAATTAAATGACAAACACTTGTAAGAAGGATGAATGAGCCATACAAAAGTAGAAAATTGAAAAAGGCACGAGTATGGACTTTTTCACAGCTGTTGCTCTGAAGGGCGGATGTGCCTATACTGCTGGCATATATGAAAACAACCTTCTAAATGAAACCAAAGCAGTCATTTGTAGACAGAGGGGGAAATTATATCAATCCTCAGTTGGGCTTTTCCTCAAAAGGAATATTAAAGCAGCAGTAACCACACAGGTTGAAAGAAAGCAGCTTTGAAGTTGTGTTTTTGTCTCATCTATCTTGATGAAGGGAGGTGCAGGAAAGACCTCTCAGTACCCTCCCTCTGCACTGCGAACCCCTTCTTTTGCTTTCACCTGTTTATAATTTCAGCCCCCCACTTATCATGTGGTTTGAATAACAAGTCAACACTTTGATTTGCACAGCATTTTATCACAATAGAAAGTTGTTTATTAGGCTGAGAGTGACTGAAATACCAGTAGTTGCGCTTCCAGTGTATCTTCCTGCTTTCCAATGCATCCCTAATGACACTGTATGGTCAACCAGAATAATAGATAATCAATGCGAGTGGTTGCACATTAACCATTCGTATTGTTTCTTTGCTGTTGAGCTGTGAACATGCAAAGGAGAGGTCATGCTGATTATGCAACTGTAAATAAAAGCCTCCAAAGTGCTACTTAGCCCTATTTAATAAAGGGAAAAAAACACTATCCCCCACCAAATTTGCACATACACACACAAATAAATAATAAAAGGGATGTGGTTCTGTCATGAATTATGAATTACGGCAAACCCTGATTAGCACGATGAGACTATTGAGCTGGGTTTTAGCTGCCTGAGTCCCCAGCCTCATAATAAAACATCAATTTGACAAAAAGCCTTGCAGCAGTGCCATTTAAAAAAAAAAAAATGGAGAAAATAACAACGTGGACACGATATTTCAAGAATGTGGCAGCTCCAACACATGCACATGTTGGTGACTGAACTCACCTTGAGTTGTATTAGATTTGTGGTACTAAAGTCAAGTTCAACACAATTAGAGAAAAGATGGAGAGGAGTGAGTGTCGGCAGGCGAGAGACTTGAATTGACTGATCACCGGCTGGGACAAATAATCAATACCCTCTGAAACAGTCTGTAGTTGTAAGTTATCTCACACTGGCACTAATTTCACAGCATGTTGCTCTGCTCAACTGAAGCATTTCCTGTCGGTATCTCTGAAACATCTCTCGTCATTTACACTGAAATGTTAAATACTGATGAATTAAACGTTTAGCGTTTTGTAACACCAGGTAGGAACGCACTCATGTGTTTAATGCTGATTTACACTGCTTTGCCAACCAAACTTAAAGCCCAACTCACTCAAAGTGCCAACTCAATCATTCATGCGACAGGTGTGGCAACTTTACAAACATTAGTTAAAAATCAGCTGCATTTGGGCAGGCATCTCACTGCGGCAAATAAGTCTGCACAAAACACTGCTGCAGGGGCTTATTTCTCTTTCCTCTTCTGCAGTCTGACAAGCAAAGAGCATAAAAGTCAGTCAAGACTGCGACTGGACTTTGTACCACCAAGATAACAAGCAACAGGAGATTATACATCTTGCATCTTCACATATTCACATAATGAGGGCTGTAGCTCTGCACAGAATGTAAAGTTGTATATACACCGTGATTTTGCAGTCAGGGATCAGTATGTCTAAAAAAAACAAGCTCAGAACTTTTTCTAATAAATATTGAAAAACAATGACGTTGGCCATAAATCCTGCTGTCAGACAGGAAAAGAAAGTAAAGGATAGATTGTAAGTTTTTCAGCTGAAACTCGCAGCTCTATGTGAGGAATCTGTGTGGTTCAGATGTATAACTCAACAGATGTGGTGGAATTGCCTCCATGCCTGTTTTTTTCTTTTTTTTCTTCTTTAAAACAGAAACATTTTTCTAAAGTTTAACCAGCAGTTTGTGGAGCCAGCATGCACAATTTCAGCTGCATCACATGTCACACTGCTGCTCTTTTTCATGCTTAGGAAACGCTAGTTAAATACGATTTTTAACCTTTGTTTGCTAGAATTGTTCAGCGGTACACCTGGGAATTGTCCAAGTGCTTTTGTTGAGAGAGTGGAGTTGACTCCTGCATTGCAGCCAGCAGTATGTTAATACAGGAGTACAGAGCTCATTTTTCTCTTTCATTTATAATTCTTAGCAGAACAAGAACCTTTTGTTGGAAGAGCTTGTGGACCGGTGTATGGGCTGTGTTGTTTTTATCTGTCCTGCAGCATTTTTATAATTCAAGCTTTGAAAACAGACCACAAATTATATGGTAAAACCTCAAATGATGAAAAGTAACAACATAGAAATGCCAGACAAAGTCAGACCAATTACATTCTTAAAAAGGATTTTTGGTGGAAGACTTAGAAAAGACAAGCACAGAGGAATATTTTCCTCTTTGAACATAGTATGAAAAAACTACTCTTTAATACTATCACAAACTAAACTGAGAAAATCAAGGCTGGTACTTATGCAGATATTAACAGCTTAGCAGGAAGCGAATTGTTCATTTTTTCATAGTGCTTTTGATGTGTTTTACCTTGTTGCTGGTAGTTTATCCTTATTCCTCCTTGGGGGTCCCTCTCAAATAGGGGTGTCCCGATAAGATAGTGAGATCGGATATCGGTCCGATATCAACAAAAAATCAAATATTGGATTATATCGGCCTGCATCTAAAATCTCCGATATCAGTACTCGATATCCGCTCCAGCACCTCTATCTAGCAGCACCCAGATCAAGCATTCAGAGCCCATGTAATCACAATAACTGTGTGTACTAAGGTATGACCACAAAGTACCAAGGAGTAGGAGTGATGTCGGCCCTGTGGCAGTATTTTTCATTAAAGTCTGAATAAGACATTGCAGCTGAGTGCAAAACTTGTCATGCACAAGTTTGTGTTAATATCAGTTCAATATCGGTATCGGCCGATATTGAAGGCTTCAATATCGGTATCGTATCAGAGTTAAAAAAGGTCTATCGGGACACCCTTACTCTCAAAATGTCAACTGCTCATCTCTCTCAAAGATGGTGAACTAATATGTATACATGGGACTATAAAAACACACCATAGTTTGTCCAACAGGTGACCTCTACTGCCCAAAAAACCACCTGTCTGAATCAGCTCTTAGGTAAATAAGCACGTCACCATTCAATGAAGGAACACAGCAGATATATACTGGTTTGGTGTGACATTTGTAAATGGGCTAATGTCTGTCAACAGGTTAAATATTTCCTGGGACCAATGCGTACCACTGAGGTGGCAGGGGTTGAAATCTTTCTTGTCTCCTTTAACGACATGAGCCGCACTTCCTAACTCGTCTGAAAGTCATTTGAACTGGACCTTTAGTAAGTTATTCGGGAGATAGTGGATATTTAGCAGGCAGTCGACTGTGATGGCTTTAAGTTCACTTAAGCCCCATGATTGATTGGTCTGTTATCTGCAGGAAGATGTATAGGAGCGGCTAATTAGATTTGATCACTTACAATTGCTCCTCAGCCACTGGGTAATCAATGCAGTCTAATTATTGTCTGGATTCCCCGCCCCCTTTTTCCTTTTACTTCCTTTATCAGCCTCTCACTTTACTGTTTTGATCTCCCTTTCCTTTATTTTTGTCCTTTATTTCCTGCCTTTTTTTTTTTTTTTTTTTTGCTGCATCCCTTTTCACCACTGGGTTTTCTTTCCTCTGAGCTCAATTTCAATCTGTTTTATCCTTTTCCCCATTCTTCCCGTTTGGCTGCTGCTGAGCTACATTGACAGTTATCCAAGAGGAATAAGCTAGAGTTCCCCTGTTGGTAACGTCTCAAACACACACACACAAACACACATTTACGCACACAATACAGACGTAGTTTATTAAATTAAAAACAGCCGACCAGATCTGCATGATGGAACACAAGCACTCACTTACACACACACACACACACACACACTGAGCAGCATGTGTGTTTTTGGCAGACAGTAAAGGACAAATGCATGTATCATACCTTGCAGGGAGGGAAGGGGTGGGGGTGTGTGCTCTTCTTCCTGTGAATAAAAGAGAGGTGTCCAATGATGTGTGAAAGAGAAGCTGCTATTTGTCCTCTCCTACCACCCCTACCTCAGATATCAAAACACACACGTACACACAAACACAGCTCAGTAGAAATGAAGTGTCCCAAAATGCACCAACAAGAACCGAGAATAGAAACGCTCTCCAATATTCCCGTCCCATTTGTCTCAATCGGGCTGCTGTCTGCTCGGTCAGTCTTAGGGTCCCAATGGGAATACAGAACAGAGTGCAGCTTTTTACACTTACTCAGCCTCACCATACTCAGTATCTCTCTGACCTTTGTGGCCTTGCTGCATTGGACGAGATACAACACATCATTCGCAGCGCAATCCAACAACATGCCCCTTCAATCCTCGGCCAATCAGACTGACCTCAGATGATATCTACATGAAGCAAACTGACCTCAGATGGCGAGTTTCATTTGGTTTTCAATGGGTTCAGTACATCTCTGAACCTTAAAGGTCAAAGACTCATAAATTCGGTCAATACCCAAGTCTGATTATGAAACCCAAAAGGGCAAATATACAGATGCTGAAGTCAGTCGGTTCAGTTTAGACTGTGTCAGTTCAGTTTGGCTCAGTTCACTCCGTGTGAGTTCAGTTTAGGTCAAGTGCTGCAAAGAGAAATTACAATGCAAATTGCGCAGGTGTGATAGAAATTGTCTGAAAGCAGAGAATAATGGAGAATAATGAATTTATCACCGAGAGATAGTGAGGCAGAACTTAAATGAAAGTTGCGAATCGCTCTCCTGTCTTATCGAATACAGACTAAACCGCCTTTTCTATAGTGCTCTCGAGGACAAAGAGAGGATGTAAGGAATGTACGTTCTGAGTACATGTCTTCTGAAACATTTGTATCTAGGCAGAGAGCCAAAAAACGTCCAAGAGATATGATAACAGGAAGCCCGTACACATCAGGACAGTAATGTTTCCTTTAAGCAAGGACACAAGAGACATCACACATCTGTTTGTCGTTTGGAAAGCCTCGCCTCGCTCCTGGAAAAACCCAACAAACACAGATTTAAAACAAAACAGATCTGGATTAAAACGATTCAGCAGCGACTTCATCTTCCCCCTCACACAGGAAGGCAAAGCAATGATACCTGCTCTGCTAATTTAATTTATGTACTCCATGACACACTGTCTAATAATGATAATAAAGCAACTGGACATCTTACAAGAATTTATCACCACCCCTGAATTATCTCGTATTCATTGTGGGCTCTGACTGGCTAAGTACAAAGCAGCCCATACTGGCTATTATCGATCCATTAATTGGAAAGTGGCCCATTGTAGTGCACAGGCTGGGCAGTATGGACAGACAGGAAGAGATGGAGGCTTAAGATCAGGCTGGACTCTAATTGGCAGGAAAGAGGTTTCTATGAAGTGGTGTAATGTGCTTTTTATTGGCTTGTAAGGGGGGAGAGGATGGGAGGATGTAGCATACGTGCTACTTTAAGTGCAACAAGCATATATTTACTTTCTTTCTGTTAAGTTGGACTACAATCAGGAATACTATTGAACTATTGTTGAAGTGTACTCTAAGTGCTTTTTCAGTGGTTATCATAAACCGTTTTATGTGATCTTTTTCATTCATTAAAAAACGTTTGCATGCACAGTTTTGCATATTTGTTCTACTACATGGACACACAAAGCATTAAGTCCTTTTGGAATAAAAACCATTTTTATGTCCTTCCACCCTGATCTGATTTAGTGCCAACGCAGCTGAATATACTGAAAGTATGTTCAAGGACATGTCCCTGGTCATAAAAGTACAGAAGGGGCACATCAATATAAAGGCTTCCATCTCTCCTTTTTCATTGAAAAGCTCTGGCTGTTATCATTTCAATGCCAAAGTATCTCAAACATTCACTCTTTTTTACTCCGTGGTCAGATTCCTTTTGATATATTTCGTGGGTGTTTTCTGTTAATCTCAGCGAAGGCTGAAGTGCAATCGAGTGTTTAGGTGCGGATAAAGGTGTTGGCAGAAGCATGGAAGGTCAAAGTACTGAGGTGGCCTGTCTGACCTTCACACACGCTGCCTCATACTGAGCCACCGCAGAGCACGGATGACATTGAAATACTCTATCGACTGAGAGTCAAGCTGTGCATGTGAAAAAGCCTGGCACAAGGAGACATTACTCACTAAACATGACATTTTACGGCTATCAATTCAGGGGCTGAGAGTTGTGTGCTACATAGGGGTAATTATTTGTGTTACTATGATGAATACCACTACAACAGTAAGAAAGCCATTCCTCTTTAAGGCGTTCGTTTTTTCCTCTACCTACCTCTGCACAACAGGGACTTTGAGATATTCCTGTAATAATTTAGACCAAATATAAACACATTAGTTACCGCCTCCCCGTGTTCCTGCAGTGAGGTCTGCACACCTGAGTGCTTTTACATTTGCTATCTTATATTAAGCTACATTGACGTACGTTTATAAAAATGCCACAAAGAAACTGGGGTCTCTGCGATCTTTAAATTCACTGTCATGATTAAAAACTGCAACACGCCATGCATTGACATAATTAACTAGAGAGAGGCAGACTGGGAAAGAGAGTTTCCAGTGCCGCTGTGATTGATCCAGTCTGTAATGCACTGCTGCGTATAGTGTGGAGGATTGAAGAGTGTGCAGAGCAAGGTTTGAAGGAGTAATACATTAAACTTACTGTATTTTCCCATACATGCCATACTGTTTTTTTTGTGTGTCTGTATATGTTACACCTCAGCGTGTCGGTGTGATTTTATCCGTATCGATCCACATAGCATAAAGCCCCCCGTGCACGTTCAGGGAGCGCCCATATCAACTAAACGCCAGATGGCTCAACTAGTACAAGCCTCCATTCCTCGCTAACAATTTGTGGAAATTTAGAAGTGTTGACGCTAAGAAAGTCGACAGTTTTTCACAGAAATGTTGTTAAAAGCAGGAGAAAATGGCATTTTAATTTCCGTACAAAATGTGCTGTTATTTAGTTGCTAATATTTAGCTAACACTTCAACACACTAAGTGCAAAGTTTTCTCTGCTCATCAGGACTATTGTCCCAGCAGTTATTGATTACATTATGCCTGCCAGATTTGATGCTCAGCTCTGTGGTTTACTCTCAAATGGCTAATTAGCCTTCTTTATGTGGTTAATGAAATGCTCAAACCTAAACGCTGTGGAGCTCACATCCCCCAGTCTTTTTATTTGCCCCCTGCTCTGTCCTTTACCACATTTTCTTTCCGCATAATTAATCATATGTCACCGGGAGATCTTGTTTCACAGCACGATTTATTTCGGTAGAGCCCACTACATGTTTTTTTCTCTTTCTCTCTCCTCTACAGACGGACAATTTCCCCACTGAGCCTAATTATATGGGTAGCAGACAACAGTTTGTCCAGAGGTAAGAGATGGGATCCATAACCGTCACTGCAACTCAAACCTTTGTTTTCTTTTCTCCAATAGTCCTAACACAGTGCTATAATATAAACAGTAAGTAAACTGACAATTAATTGTGAAGGGAGGTAAAGGCACATACACTTAAGTAGGTCTTAAAGTGGTCACCAACGTCATTTTCTTTCTTACATAATATATGATCACCAGTTTTTCTATCTTGAATCTTTGTTAGCAGACTGCAATATTTCATGAAGCATTTGATCAAACCTTTAATATGTTTGTTATCTTGTTTTTATCAAGCATTCAGGGCTGCTCATTAATCTTTCATCATGTCTCTGAACTTCTACTGGGGGGAGTCTAAAAAAGGAGGCCATATATTGTGTATTAAATCTCTTTTCCCTTTTTTTTTTTTCTTTTCCTTTTTTGTTGTTGTTTGTTCAGTAGTTCGACATTTAAAGACCCGGAGCGAGCCAGTCTGAGAGACAGCGGCCATGGGGACAGCGACCAGGCCGACAGCGACCAGGACACCAACAAAGGCTCCTGCTGTGACATGTCTGCAAAAGAGGCACTCAAGCTAAAGGCCACGGGTGTGAAACCACCACCTCTGGAGCAAGGTGAGCCCCTTTTTTTTTTTTCAGCTTTGACTGCATGAGAAATGAAAGATTGCCAAACACACTTAGACCAAATGACTATCAATCCGCTCGGTGTGCTGAAGTTATTTGTATTAACGATTGAGCTCCTGACTTGCCTGAATGCTCACAATCTGAACCTCTACTCGACTACTTTATTCCCCTTTACTTTGTTCTCTGCACTTTTCTCATTTAATGTGAGTGTATGTCTATGTGTGGTGTGTTCGAGGGTGTGAGCAAGTGCGCATTCCATACACGTCCTCAGTTTATCAAAGCAGACAAGCCCATTATGTTTTTATAAGCCCAACTACTTCAGCCTCTCCATTTAGTCCCCCTTCCCTGAGCAGCCGTCTCTGAAACTTTGATAATGGAACATGGAAAATGACTTAGTGAGCGGCAGGCGATGTAGCTTCGTAGTGTGGTGATTAAATATGAATAATTATTCCAAGCGCTGTGGGTCGGGCAGATTACACATGACATGTGTAGAACAATAACTCCCAAGATATAAGTTGTTGCAGTCCTCCTCACCCCAGCCACCTTGCATGATTAGTGCAGGATGAGGAGAGCCAAGAAAGACAAGATTATACAGGGGTATAATGGTATAGGGAGAAGAAATGGGGCAGGAGGGTATGGAAGATTTCTCACTGCAGCTTCACCCAGTCATGTCGCTCGGTGTGGGCCATTACCTGCTCGGCAAAACAGATATTCCCGCAGAAATACAAATTCACTAAAGTCTCTATCCAAGCAGAATATATCTCAGTGTCTAGATCCAGCAGCACTGAGCTCTATACTGAACATGGATCTCGTGTAATGGTGCTATTAATCCAGGGAACAGAAGGCCTGTTTTACTCCTTGCGGAAGGACAATGACAATTTGTGAAACACTCTGTGCTGCAATATGCAAGTCTGACTAGATAGCATTTTTTTTTTTCATTGGTTTTTAGAATGAAAAAAAGCCACACGCATTGGCAAGAGAAATTGGCCAATTAAAAAGCTCCATATGTTTCTCATTTTGAAAATGTTCCCATTTAATTGTCCGTGGGGGACTGAAGGAATCACATTTATACACACAAAACACATGACAAAGTGTGTGTCGGGCCAAAGTCAATCATTAAAAGCTGTTCCTATACATTATTGTTGCTAGGTGTCACTGTTACTGCTGCGGACGGATTCTGCCAACTGTAGCCTGTCCATGCACCTTTATGAGAGGTTTGTTCCATCCGTCTCCTTTTGACAGACTTCCACAAGGGATTGTTGCAGCAAACCACAAATAGAAAAACACACACACACACTTTTGCACACAAGCTCGTTGTTGGAGGAAAACTCAGCAGAAGGCAGTAACCTGTCTTCGCCTGTTTCTCACTCATCGCTGCCCTCCCATTTACTTTCACCCCGCCGCCGTGTTTTCACCCCCGCTTTGCGACTCGCGTTCCACTTCTCCACCTCTCCTTGTTTGGGGAAATCGATTGATGTGAGATTAGACAGTTAACTGGCTGCAGCTGGCTGTGTTTAGCCAATAACATGTGGGCTTAGCTAAGCTTGTGGGGGAGGGCGGGGGCAGGAGGCCAAGGCATCGTGCAAAAGCAGTGATGAGGAGTGAGGGGCGGCGAACATCACTCTGGCCCTGTTCCAGTGTGTCTTTATTAAGTTGTGAGGCTACCAATTGAATGCTGAAACACAGAAAATTATGCCCCACTTTGAGTATTTATCCAAGATAGCATGCTACAGTGACAAACTCTACCCCTCAAATTAATTTGCCTCCAGCTTAGAAAGGTCTGCTTTTACTCTGCGTTACATCCCCTGCCTGTTAGGCTCAAAAGTGGTCGCATATGCCTCTTTATCTAAAGCAGACCCGGTCTTGTACAGGTAGTTTATTACAGTAATTGATGACTTATTAAGAAGGCTTGGTAAGGAGGGAAAACTTGAAGAGATTAAATGGAAACACCAGGAAATATGGTGAGATGTGCTGCTCTGCATTTAGCTAACACTAAAAATGTGGTTTCAAAAAAGGCTCCCTGTGTGCTCACACATCACACAGGTACGGGAAGTCTTTTATCAGATGGAGACAGGAAAAAAAGCAAAAAGGAATCTTGTCACTGGTCACCGTCCCCGGGGTCGTCTTCCTGCAGGCTTATTTTCTTCACATCTCAGCACTTAGCATCTACTTCATAGGTCTCCCCCTTCACCCCCTCCTTCTCGCCTCTTCTTCTTCATCCCATCTTAAGTCCTCTGTTTCTCTCCAAGCAAAGCCCTCCCAATTACTATCTGTAGCTCTCTCTGCTCGCCTGCCAGGACACTGCGGCCTCATTCACATGCGCGGTATAAACAGAAGTACAAGTACCCAAAGCATGTAGTTCAAGTCCCAATCAATCCCCAACTCTGTTCAGTTCTTGGACTCTATAGCTGCTAGTTTGTAGCATGCACACGTTTGTCTTCCTCCTTTTATTTTTTTAGTCCTGCAATTATTTGAATACTTTCTTTTTTCGATAACACTCTCTTTCCTTGATTATATTGTATATGGGTATGGTACAAATGAGAGATTTGAAGTTTCATAGGTATTAAGTGTATATTGTGTGTGTGTATACGTGTATAAAGGTATGGTTGTATGTATGTATATACAGGGTCTTTTTCTTAGTATTAATGATTTGTTACTTATTCATGTTAGACTTTGGAGCTTTGGTTACTTTTTGGTGACTTGAGAAATCCTAAAATTCAACGAATAAGAAGGAATGAGGGTAGGTACAAATAAGCTAAATAATAAGCTAAATAGCTTCAACCTACTTCTTTTCGATCTCCAAAAATAGGTGAATTTCTTGCCTAAAATTGTGCTGTATGTATATTTGATCGAAAAACAATCTCTCTCTCTCTCTCTCTCAAGCTTTAATTTCACCATTCAACCCCCCTGTCCGAAAAAGCATTGTTTGAAAAAACACACAACCCCTCGTATTTCCATGCGTGTAATTCATCGTCGTCTCTGGTATTCGTCGCGCTTTTTCTTCCAGACAACATAATCTGGACATCTTTGCACTAGGGACTAGTCTCAAATTGATTAATTAGCCCTGAAAAATTGGAAGCAATGTATTAATTAAGCTTAAGTATATCAAATCCATTTTTTGCCAGTTTTAAACGGCGATTAATTGATGCTCCGACGCGTCTGCAGCAGACGCTGATACGAGCTCGTCTGGCTCTGGCGGAGTGGCTGGCAGCACATCGCTCGCCTCTGTGGAGATGACTGCCACAGCCGCTATCACGAACAGACAGGCGGCAGTGGTGTAGGGAGATGTTACCCACTGATAGGGCTGTCCGAGGGAATGGGAAGAGAGAGGGAGGGATGATGGAGGAGGAGGAGGAAGGGTGTGGAGGGACGCTGTTTGACAGGGATACTGCTTGACTGTACCAGCTGACCCAGCCTAATTAGCCGCGATCGGAGTGTGATAATCAAACCGCCTTCTGCCTTGTTTTAAAAGCGGGAGGCATGAGTGGGACAGAGGAGGAGGAGGAGAAGGAGGAGGAGGAGGAGGGAGGATGTGATAGCGACTACAAGGACAGGCTAGATACAGTGAGGAGAGGCAGCGTGAGATGTGCGAGGTAAAAGGCGATGAAATTGGCTTTTCCCTGTTATTTGATAGAAACCCCAACCCCCACATCATCCTTCAGCTTGTGAATAGCTTAAATAAGGGAAATGTCAGGCTTTGTCAATTGCTCTCACACATGTGCAAACTCTTGGCTAGCACACCAACAAAGCTGTGAGTGCCTCCCTCTGGATTTTATGTAATTTATGGTGCCGAGGATGTCAAGTAGTCCTTTTGAACTTGTTGCTAGAACAGTTTTGTTAATCCAATGTGTAATTTTGATGAAATGATTATAAAAAAATAAGCTGGTGCCTTGATGTTTTAATTCCTACCAAACACATTGGAGTGACATTGGTGAGGTTGGATGAGGAGGAACTGATGGCACAGTGAGGTCCTTTGTGTTAGCTGTGCGGCTCTTTATACTCTGATTCATTTTAACTCAAAGGCTTACAAGGCGAGGAAAACAGAAGGCCTTGGTTCTATTTAAGTCTACCATCTGAAGCTATTTCAATTGAAAATTATCTTCTTTTTTCATTACTACTATGTAGTAAGATTTGCAGCCAGGCGAAAGCTCTTGAATGTTTTCTTTACTGACCTCACTCTCGGCCTGGATTTACGTCACTGTCATACTTTATCCTGCAAGACCTTGTGGTTTATAACGTGGCGGTCACCTTTCACATCAGAAGATATTTCATTATAGTATTTAATATAAGATCACTTTAAGGGCTTCTGTATTAATATGGGTGGAGGATTTTCTCCACTGTTGTTATTCTCATTATTAGCGATCAGAGCAAAATAATGAGAAAAATATAAAGTAATAAAAAATTTGGTCTTTTTCCCTTTGTTTTTTTTTCAATAATAGGTTTCTTCTTCTACTTCATACAGCCAACTAAACAAACTTAGGGTTCAGACTTTAATCCACCCAAAATATTCACTCAGCTTCCCTTGTGGCACTCCTAATCTTTAAGACCCTCGTACTGCCTGTACTTTTCCAAAGTGTTTCAAGTTCCCCCACAATTATAATCTCCACTTTTTTCCCCACATGAGCTGCAATTAACTTTACATTATGACCGAACCCTCTGTAAAAAAAAAAAATCCCGAGATTAATTGACTGGTCAGAAGTCAGATCAGATGCCCTTTTCACACTTGTAGCCATGGCAACCTGTCTCCTGCTAACAGTGGCCTTCGATAAACCTTTATCTGGCTAGTGGGAAAGGGCACTCCATTCAGCACCATTCATATTTCATGGACAGATGAATTCAGACACGTTATTCACAGGGTGGCTGGATGCATATTACATCTGTAATTTGACTGCTTTTGAATTCGTGCTCACGCTGCAGCTGGATCAATCTGTAAGAAGTCTATTATTGATTTGTTATACATTTCTGTTACAGAACTTTACTAAAACTGCACTTTACATTTACATTATGATTGCAATTGAAGATTGATTCTGAGTAAACTGAACATACATGCTTGAAGGTTATTAAAAGTATTGTTAAATTCATCAATGCAGTCAAACATTTAGAGCCAAAAAAATGCTCTCATGGGTCAAAAAATCATTCAGCGCATAAATTATGTCTTTCTTTGTCTTAAAAAAAAAATCATTTTTAAGTAGGTTGCCTTTCCGGGGGTAAATGATCATTTCTATAGTGAAGTATTCGGTTGAAGATGAAAACAAAGAGAAAGACAGACAGAGAGAAAGAGTGGGACCCACGCTCAGACGCAGCACAATTGAATCCTAAAAAAAACAAATGAACAAAGCAACACAAAATCTGGCTGCTGAAAGACAGGCTGCTTGAAGACGCACTTCTTCTGAAACGTTTCCAGCGGGCATTGGAAAGAAAGTGGAGATGTGATGGAGCCACAGCTCAGCCAAAAAGTGACTCAGTCTTGTGGACAAGAACTGACTTTTAGACTTTAATTCATCAAATGGAAGTTAAAAAAAAAAAGTCTTTTCTATTTTCATGAGGCTCTGAAAAATGCTGGCAGAGTCTTTTTAACTGTATTTAGTAAATACTTGATCCTGAAGTATTTAATATCCATACCTTTGATGCCCTTGGGTAATGGAGAGCAGAGACCTTTTTCATAATTATGCATAATTAACTCACAGCATATAGAAAACACATAAACCCTTGTTGACAACTACAAGTAAAGAACAATAACTCCTAATATATTTACTCATAGATGGGAAAAACTATTTATAAATGACAAACTAAACTGTTATTTCCTGATACCACTCAGCAGCAGGAACTCCATTGTTTTCCAAACAACTCCAATTAGCAAGTTAGCATATCTTCCAGCGCTTTGACAAGGTGTACAGCGCAGTGCAGCAAGGGCTTTGTAAATGCGTGTTTTTTTTTTCACACGAGGTGCGATGTTCAAGTAATTGTTCCACAGGTTAATGGTATAAACATCTGCTGTGAGAAGAGGAGCCTGATTTGAAAGCATTGTAATTAGTTAGTTCTCAAACATCGCTCCAAACAGGTAGCATATGGGAGAGTCCTTGTTTCATGTGATGCTATCTCATCCGTCTGTTTAAACATGATTAATTGAGACCATCAGAGGGTGTTTACACCCGTTGAAACAGGACTCGTTACAGAGTTTCGCTCAGGCTACTATGTCAATGACTGCTCTTATCTATTCATAATCATTCATGTAAATATTAATTTTTATCTCCTCTTTAACCGTCTGTTGTGGCAGTATGAAAGCTAAAAGTCTGTAGCATGGCCTTAGGGAGTAGCTGAGATTAGAAAAATACAAGCCACATCTGAAAACATCAGCCAGATGCTCATGTTTCTCCTTACTGCATGTGCGAGCCGGATTTGTCTCTGAGCCTTTCATCTTGTCCTGCTCCTCATCTTCCTTTGGCTCTCGCAGCTTGTCCCTGGCTGGGCTGATAGCCCGATTCATGGCAACATCACCAGTTACTTTCCTGGTGTGGAAAATGAGAACCATGAGCAATCTGGACTTCTCCAAAAAGCGTCACTCAAAGTCAAACAAGATTTCTGTGTGTATGTGTGTGTGTGAGTATGTGTGATAGTGTGCATGTACACTAGTGCCAGAGTGTGCGTTCACCCCATTCTTAGAGGATATGGTGGTATCGCACAGCAGTGAGGCGATTTGCAGCTAAGCTAGTGGAATCCTGTGGAAAGCCTAAAATCTTATGGGGTGAAGGGAGGGAAAATATCACAGTCTTAGGATTTCTTCCCTCTCATTACGGAAGATTTAAAGGGATTAGTCTATTTTCTTTAATACACCAAGTTTTATTAAATTCCATTGTTATGATTGTGGTTCATGAAGGGTAATGTCCATTCTTGTGTCCTTCCTCCTGAGCTGAAAGAGCCTGATAGCTGGCTGGGCAGGATTTTGGCAATAGTGGGGGTGTGATTTCCAGGCCTAAACTCAGTGCCTAACCTGCACGGCGGCTCACCCCCTGATCCTCACTCAGCCCGTGAGGCCTGTCTCAAGCACTGTGGCACCACTGCGTCAGAGAGGATTGATAAATATCTGGGGCTCGAACCACTTGGGCTATAAATCTCTGACATTATCCCTTCACCCTGGTCGCTGCACAGAATAATTATGTCATGTTTATGGAAGCAATGAGTAAAAATATGTCTTGTTTCACTCAGAGCACCATTACTACAACCTCCTATCAGAGCATGACTGGACTTTCTGTCTTTTAGAGAAATCTGGTTTATGTCCTCTTGAGAGTGCTTTTCAATGCCCCTAAACGCTTACTGCTGCTGGCCCTCTCCCCTCATGCAGGCTGCTCTGTAATGAGAACATTACAGGGTATTAATCCAGGAGTGTGCTCACTCATATTAGACACTGAAAAAACACACAAAGCCATTAAATTCTGGGGAAGGCCCATTAAAAAATGTCGGCACTCTGAATGTGCGGATTAGGGCAGAGTCATGCAGATTTAAAGTTAATCACTCTTCAAACGTATTGTTAAAGTTTTATCCACTCCCAGGTCCTGAAAAACTCTGTGATCTCTTCATTATGATTATTACTTTTTTTTTTTTTTTCTGCTTTGCTATTTGGAAAACAAATTTCACACTCACGGTGTTAAAACACACTTTTCTCTGCTGAACTGAAGCTCCAGCTGGAGATGGTGCTTTTGTCAGTGTTCTTGTCAGAAAAGTCGCCTGCAGACGAATTTGAATTTGTTTGTGTGAATGCCTCATTTGAGTGGAATAAAAGTCAGAACGTGAGGCGAGGCAGTTTGATTAGTTTGCATATTTCATGTTTACACTTTATACATGCACACAGACTTGCCTGCTTGCTGTAAACACAACTAGTAACCCACATAATCACCAAGAGTGCATGTTTTAAGGAGAATGAGGTGAGAAAATAAAAACACCCTCATGCCAAACCGGTTCTACCACACGCACAAGCATTGGGTGTATTTCCCCAAAACAACAGCAGCAGCAGAAAGAGAGAAAATCCGGTTTGTTTATCTCCTCCATTATCAGGACAGACATGTTTCTGCTCCCAGTTGTTTCCTCTCTTTGTAATCATATGAGCAACAACCTGGTAGATGTGGTGCCTGTGCTATAAATGAAATTAATTAACATTGTGTGGCTGAGCCCCATAGCGGTGCAGCCCACGTTTCCTCCTTTTTTTTATTTATTTCTGGCATTAACCTCTAATTGAAAAGCTTAGTTAAATTTGTGATAGCGGCATACGTAATTAGGATGCGATCATAGCTGTTGATGCTGAGATATTTTAAGATGGAAGCTCTGGCACTGAATTCAAAGAGTGAAGATGTTGCTGCAGCTCACGGGAGGTACCAAGTTAGCTTAGCTGGAAACAACAAAGGCTGAACCGTGACTCACTGTCGGTGCCTACGTCTGTGTGTTTATAGGGTACGTAGACTGACTAGCGGATATAATGTCTGTGAGCCATCTAAAAAAAAAAATAGGTGTGTTCGAGGTACTCGTGTGAGTTTTGGCGTTAAAATGATGTTTTTCCTCCGAAGTTTTTGAGGATAAAACAAAAAAGGCTCTCTCTCAAATACAAGACGCTTTGTTGTCACAGCACCTCTCCCAGAGTATGTGTGACAGAGCAGCAGAAGAGCTGTTCCAGTATCTGCTCGCAGTGGGTGAAACATGTTGTCCAGCACAGCAGTAGGGAGGATACTACGGAGCAGATTATAATGATACAGAACATCGTCACTCCCTGGAACAGAGCCACTCCATGGCCATCTGTCCTCCGTCCACAGACAGCCGGGCATCACTGCATTTGAATGTGTGTGTGTGTGTGTGTGAGTGTGTAATTCCAGACATTAACCACATTCTTTTACATATGCTTTGATACCCTTTTTTTCTCCTCCTTGTTATTTTTCCGTAAACATTATCCTCCTCATCCATTTGATGATGTAGCTTCAGAGGGAGTTTTAAAGCAAGTTCTCATGTATAATCCAAAAAAGTCAGAGGTAGAAGTTTGTAATAAAACAGGAATAAATAAGTCCCTCTCTCTGTCTTTTCTGCCTCTGCAGATTCGTCTCAGTACTGTAGCAGCAAAAGCCAAGCTGCCATCAGTAGTCTTTCGTCTTTGGAGTTGGATTTCATTCAAACCACAGAAAACTAATCTTCCAAGAGCCCATGTCATAAAACTAATGAAACATTACAGAGAAAACGATAATGACGTGTAACAGTTTAGGGTTTAATTACATTCTGGGGTTGTAATAAAGATTAAGGCTCTGTGAATTGTACTGTACTTTTGTGTGTTCTTTTGTGCAGCTGTTGCTGTCGACTGTAACTACTGAAAGGACAAGCCACCCTTGATGTCTTCACACGCTGGGTGTAGATTTTATTTAATGACTTGAGGGTTATTCAGTACTTTCCTTCGACTGAACCTCACATCTAGAATCTAAAGCATGTGAACAGTGTTATACTGTATAACACAGAGGCGAGTGAAAGGCTGTTGCTTTACATCTCAGCTGTATTGCATGTGACAAAGTCGCACCTGCAACCGGTTCTTACAATTAGAGTACCTGATTCTCTCATCAGAGTGTAACAGTGTTGTAGGAGGTGAAGTCACGGGAGGCACAGATGTTTTCTCTTCACATGACTTTGTGTCTGATCTCACCATACACCTTTCACTAACAATTTCACTGTTTGCTTATTGAACCCGTCTCGCTTGTGTGTTGTCATTACGTTTTCCTCGCAGAAATGCTACTTTGAACTAGCAAACCTGTTGGCACGATTCTTTTGTTTCTGAAGCCTGAAGCTTTGCACCGCTCTCCAACCTACAACGTGTCTGCTTATAACAATGAAGAGCTTAGGAAAACCAAGACCCGTGGACAATGGCATAAGTGCACGTGCTTTGCTATCGATATGTTTTGTTTGCATTGGTGGAACAATCAGCCGAGGTTCCGATCAAACATTGCCACAGTTTGACTTACATTGTGCTTGCTAATGGTATATCGGATGCAGCAACATTGTTAATCACTGACAGATTGTTTGATCAATTCCATGCAGACACTTACAAACTGGGTGAAATTGCTCAGCTTTGATTATGTGAAAACTAAAAGCCCGGTTGGAAATTTCCTGAACGGTAAATTATGCACATCTTGCACTGAATCATTAGGAAACAAGCAAAGACCCTTTTTTTTTGGTCCGGCCTGTTTCCCAGGCTGATGTGGATGAATATTTGTGCTGCCCCAGGGCGTTGTTTCCCCCATGTTACACTGCATCATGAACCAGAGAGATAAATGGGCCTGGCCTGTCCAAGGCATCAGGACTTCTTCTCTGCTCAACCATAACTAGCAATGTCCTTTTATCCACTGCCTGCAGTGCTTTAGATAATGGAGTCTTGACAGAGGAAATGCTCAAACAAAGAGAGGAGATGGGGCTTATGACAGTAGATGGGATGATCGGAGACGTCAGAAAAGAAACACTGAATTCATATAGGAGTTATGTGTGAGTTGTCCTGATATAGATAGCAGTATTGATATTCTACACTGTCGCTTTATTGATACAATAGCACAGAGCCAGTAAAGTGAGTCTATGCCAGCAATCAGTGTCAGAATCAGTGACGGTGAGGGAAAATGGCATTTCTCTGTAGTTTGTGTAGACACAGAAAGATGATATAGCTTCTAAACCCTGCTAGGTGCGTTGAAAGGAGGAAAATCTAAGAGAGACAAGCTTTAGTAATGAAAGGAAGTAGCATGGCAACCAGTTGATAAGTAACAGGATGATAAGAGGAAATAGCTCATGGGTGGATGGACGGATGGATGGATGAAGATGGGCGGGACAGCAGGCAGGCTCCATGGGAGATTGGCTTAAGTAGCATGGTGCCCGGCTTCCTGCCGTCACTGAGCCACCGGTTCAAATTCAAAAGAAAACACATGTCAGTGTAAACACATACCCTGCTAAGACAGGCCCGGACCAAGTCACATGAACATGCACTCGGAGACACACTGCGGCGACGTCATTATTAGGATCCCTGTAGCTGTAATGAATATACTTTAGAGGATGTGCGCTATAAATAGGGCTTTGAGGTATCTGCATGGATGGCAGCCGTATAAATTTCATCAGATGTCTCTGTTGCGTTTGTGATACTGTACTTCAGTTTTGCCTTCTCACAGAGATGGAGAGAGAGCCTGTGTGTGTATGTGTGAGTATGTGTGGATGGCGACTGGGAGTGTTTTTCGCCGATAACCTCAGTTTGTTACTTTTTGATCCTGCTAAATTAAGATAAGGGGCTTGGTTAATTAAACTGTCACATGGCAATACCTTGAGGAATTGCGAGGCCAACACAGCTTTAATTGGGTGGCTGCTATTGTCCCTGCGCTGCCTGCCTTCACCGGGAAGCACCCCCACAGAGGGTGGGGGGAGAAAACAGCCTCATGGCTACTGGCAAAGGATGGAAGAGCAGATAGAATGACAAGTCTGAACATTTAAACAAAACAGCAGGGGGCAAGGACAGTGTGATCTCTAAAAAAAAATAGGTGTGTATCACTCACACTGCAGCATCCAAAGGTATTAATTCGCCGCCTCTTAATGTAGTAAATTCTAAACATATAATGGCCACATTGAAGTAAGGTGTGAATGTGATTAGACTTAAAACCAGGATTTTAATTGCTACTTCAGTATGCATGAATGGGAGTTGTGCAATTTTCTGTCCATCGCAGTAATCTCTGCGGTGCATTAGTTGCAAGTCTCCAAAGCCCCACGGACAATGTCAGCAAGCTTAAGATGCATCTGTAATTACCAGCAGCCAATTAACAGCTGACCTCGCCATCCCACCTCAAACCACAACAAAGATCTATTATGGAGATTTAGAAGGCTTGCAGTGTAAACAACTAAGTGTGATGGATCTCTGTACAGTGCTTATGGGTGTTCGCACCTCCCCTTTCGACTTACACGCACATGCTTCATTGTGATTCAGACCACGATGAGCCAGCCGGTTGAACGTGTTGCAGATGTGTAGGTTTTTCTGTAACAGACTTTCAGGAGAGCAGCAGCAGAGTTGATAAATGTTTATACGTTTGCTCTGCTGGTAAGCAGCAGATTAATTCATGTTTAAGTTTTAAACGAGCGTATTAGTTCGAGAAAGTTAAACCCATTAATTAGTGCTTCCTTTATACATAACTTTGAGCAGATTTTTATTACATTTCAGAACAAATGCATCGCTTTCCCAAGACAAAAACAATGCATCATATTAATCGAAAAGTCTTGCAGCTGAATCTGATTTAGTTTGAGGACAAAAGCATTACTGGATTATAAAGGAATCTCAGAAAAAATGTGCTGTTGTTGCTTGAGGAAGTATCCTAGATAGAGTAATGCCCATTGTATGGCGGTGTTTTGAAAACAGTTGTCCATCTGGCACTGAAGGTGATCAAAATCTGCCTTGATTAACAAGTGGCAAATCTGGGTGATGGTCGCCTGCGCTGCCTCTCATCCCCTCCCAAGTGGGGATCAAAGAGGATGAAGTTTTGAGCCGAGGGATAATCTAGTTCCTGAGATTGTGATAATGCTGCTCAGGATGATCATGTGGATGAGAGCGGGGTTTGGGAGTGCACATGGCTCGGAGTTCATGCTTACATGTACTTGTGTGTCTGTTTTATGAGAAGAGGCAGACAATAACAGAGCAGGCAAGTGAATTAGGACACACACAGTGATGTAAACAACACATTCCTGCTGTTGCTGTATCCCAGCAACCACATCATTGAACAACAGGTGATTTCAACCGTCTTCCTTTTTAAGCTTCAATATGGTGAATCAGGACAACTTCTAGTCAGATACAGCAAACATTTCCAAGAAGACTGAAATGATGAAGACAATTTCAGTCTGAGGAATAATCAGAGCATTCGTATGTAGATAATGTTTCCCTATTAGCTTAGTGTGTGGTCTTTTGAGTCCCAAAGAACAGATATTTTCATAAACAGTTTGCGTAATGACACTGAGCTTAAGCTCTGTCGAATCTCATTTTGGTTTTAAGGTCCCTGTTGTTCCGCATGGTCTCTTCCCACCCTAATCCGTGTCTGGTGTTGGTGTCCAGCTGTTCCATCAGCACGACAAGTGGTTCAGGGAACTCCCACATTGTTCATTGACCAATCGCAAACACACCAGAATGCTGTCAACGAGCATTTTCCACCCAGTGGTTTGCATTTGCCTGCACCTGTGGTTTTAGCCCTGGGGGCAGTGGGTGCAGTGGTAGGGGGTGGCCAAATAGGGGAAAGGCTGGGCATCGGGGTGGAAAGGCAGTCAGGGGTTGGGATTAGACTGTCTTTCTGTCTGTCTGTCTGTCTGTCTGTCTGTCTGTCTGTCCAGATTAAACAAAATAGATTCACTGTGAGTTTACCCACATCCACACACACACACACACATATACACACACATGTTTGTGTTTCCTCAAAATGCATCAGAGGCCAGCCTTGCCTTGCCATGCCACCTAAATTTGCATTTTTGTTATTTGCATGAAGTCATCGGAGCTCGGAGGCAACTTACGGTTGTGTGTGCACGTATGCATGCAAACGTTTGTGTGCGTCTGGGCGTGTGTTTCACAATTTCACAAGCAAAAATAAAGATCTTGTCCAAACAATCCAGCAGACATGACTGGAAAGAGCCTGTGCTGCACTCATGAAAAGCTTGCAGATGAAACACCTGGAAAGTTTCAACACTTGTTGTCCAGAATTTACTAGAATGTGTTGAATTTATGCAAAACACCGGCGCTGACCTCCCAAGATATTGTTACATCCAATAATGCCGCAGTAGAGTCTACTGTGGAGAGTTACTAGAATAGATACACTCTGCACTGCAGTGCTTTGCCAGCCGAGGTTGTGAATCTTATCAGACGGAGTTGTGGTAGTGGATTTTGTGTGTGTGTGTTTGTGTGTGTGTGCCTGCGTGTGTGTGTCCAGGCCCCTCTGGAGTCCATTAATCCCGAATCTAACAGACTTACTGCAGAGGCAGCCTTTGATGTGTGCTGAATCCCTCTCTGGAATATTGGATGCTTGCTTCCATAATATTCACTTCCTATTCTCTCATCAGGAATACATTGTTTTGTTTTCACCCCCACGTTGCCTGGATTTGTCTGGCAGGACAGGTGGCGGCAGCGTTATGAGTTTGTTTACGATTCAGGTGTGTTTTTACCAGTTCTCTGATCTGTAATTTTACATCTCTGAGCTCTTTTAATCCCGTTCTTATCTTGTGTAAGCCTTCTAATCTTTGACCCTAATCTTAAACCGCCACATAGAGTGGGATAGTGTGGACTGAGTGGAGTTGTTTGTCTCACCTTCAAATTCAATGCATACCTTCGTCGGAAAAAAATGGAGTCCTGTAGCCTTTTGTTTTTGTATTTTTTTTCCAAGTGTCTGAGAGGTACTTATTGCTGTGTTTTCTTTTTATTTGGGTTTATTGCCGTGGCCTGGACTTGAACCGGGGTCTGTTATAAAGCCTCTTGCTTATAACTGTCAAGTCTCAGGAGTAAGGCATATGAAGAGGCAAAGAAAGTATAAATTAGATAGTGAGATGGAAAACACATTTCTATTTGAAACGATTATCCCCCCTGACGGGTATACTAATAGACCGTTATTGCATTTCCGTCAGTTTCTTTTAATCTAATCAAACTTATAAACAGACACGCGAGAGTGTTAGAGTGTGCGTATGTTTATCCACACAGAGACACGAGCAACCAGTGTCTAGACGCCAAACACCAATTTGGCGGCAGCACTGGGGGAACATCAATGCTAAAGCAATGTTGCTGAAACACAAGGCATGTTCCTTCGTCTTGCATGGAGGAGAGATTGCAGTGACAGACAGACGGGGGAGAGGAGGAGGAGGAGGAGGAGGAGGTGCAGCAGCAAAAAGAGGAGCAGTTGGCAGAGCTCACTGTGGCTAATACATCCAAAGTGTGTCAGTTAGCTCTCTAAATGTGTTAGGCCCCGAGGCTGAGAAAGCCAACACCATCGACTCAACCTACCTCTCTCCACCTTTCCACTTAGCCTCTGTTCAACGCCCGCCAATATCCTTAGGGGAGCTACACTGCTGTTCATTGGCACAATTGATCAAATGCCGACATGCTAAAGTGTACAGTTTTCTTATTGCAGGTATTGGTCTCATGGGTACATGTGCCAGGGGACGAATTCAGAGCAGTGTGCTGATATGCAGAAAGGTGGAGTGTCACCTCTTTTGTTAAATGTATCACGCTGGTTAGCAGCCACTCAAGCTAAAGGTGAAAGTGTTATGTTACAAGAGCTAATGAGCCATTTATTTGGGGGGGTTTGGTACTTCTCACAGCATTGGAGAACTATTAAGCATGATCTGCACTTTAGACACTGTAAGTATTGGTGTGTTGTAAATTAAAAGTTTAGCGATAAACTCATTTCCACATCGACGTTTCCCTTTATTTCCCTGACCTAAACACAAATGCGAACTAGTCTCAAAGATTTTAGTTTGCAGGGTGTCCGACCTTAATTCTTCTGGTAGCTGGAGCTGAATAAAGACTCGAAATGTAATCCAGCGGCGGGCTTGGCGAGGTGGCCTTGATTTGATATGACTCCCAGTTGAACGTTCAACACCAACATTGGGTATGACATTCTTCGGTAACCAGCAGGCATCACTTTTATGTAACATTGACCGACATCCAGTATGTTTAATACTGACAGTAGCATCAGTAGATTCAGCTGTCTTGGTTGTTGAAAACGCCTCAGTAGCGCTAAATGCAAGTCGACCCAGAGTCAACTTTCATTTTGTCAGCGAAGAATCCCTGAGCTTTTTTTATTTCCCTCGCTGTGTCATTGGACGCAGAGCAAAGCAGGAGCAGGATGTAAACGAAAAATCAAATCTGAAAAAATGATCCTTTAGTATTTGAAATTCACAGAGATCCTTTTGGGAGCTAGTATACACCGAGAGGCCTCATCCTCTTGAAAACGCAAGGACTGAGTGATCATTACAAAAGCAAAACAGATGAATAAAGGAGTGTAATGTGAAGGGAGTCACTCAAACGCTCCAAAGCAGGGCCTTGAGCTGAGAGAGTCGTGCCGTTTCCAATTGTAGCTCAGCTGAAAGTCTTTGTTTGGTAACATAATCTAATAAATAAAAATGTTAACTTGACTTCAAACACAAAGATAGCAGTCTGACAATGCCAGAATACACAGATATTCGAGAAAATTCTTCAGAAATAATCTCACAAACACGCAACTTTTATAGCGATCGGAAAAGGGGAGTTTGGTTTGGTGGCATAAAAAGAAAACTTACAAGATGTGGTGTCAGGTACAGTCCTGCTCTGTGTTATTATAGTACACAGTCTGTGATATAATGCATTTAGTTTAAACTACTGCAAAAGTGGAAGAAAATAAATAACACTGGTACACACTAGCAAGCCAGTCTGTCAGATTAGGCTCTTTGAAACATCTGACTGGTGTCGTTTCAGGTATGCGTTTAAGCTGGGGATATTTTTACACAGCTGTAGACACTGTTAGTTTTGCTGAATTAATGCAGGGAGGAGTACACGACAGATCTTAAAAAGTGTCACAGCTGTTCTCCGGAGAAGTACTGCAGCTTCTGGTGGTGATGTTACAATACGCAGAACTGAATCTGAGAGAAAACACCGAAAGAGATCAGAACATCTGGCTCATCACCCATCTACGCTACAGTCAGCCTCGGAAATAGAACTTCCACCGCAGTATGAATTTGTTTGTGAACGTGTTAAAATTTTGATTTCGGATACTTCCTGTCCCTTTTTATGTCTGAAATATTTTTTGTAACCTCAGGTCAGCAGCAGCCATGACAAATCCAATCTTCTGGGTTTCGGCTCCTGCTTGGATTGCATCAGGCTTGAGTGTCAGCCTTCTTGACATGTTTCATCTACCTAACCCCTCTCTGCCCGGTCTTATCCGTTTCTGACTCTAAAGTGGGGGTTGTGGAGTTTTCCCTTTTGGATTTTGAAGTATTTACACATGTTTTAGCAGCACTTGTCTTTGAGCTTTGCTTCATCCTACATACAAAAACCCTTAAAAGGATTAAGTTCATTTGATGCTATCAGACCATAACGCAATAGTATTACCTCCCTATTGAACACTGTATTTATATGTTTTATTAGAGTTGAGTGAGAGGGAGAATGAGAAGCACTTTCCCTAATCCTACTAAAGCGGTACACATGAGAATGATTACTCGCACAAAGCCATGACACCCCGAGTTCTTCAAATCCCTTTGTTCAAAAAGAGAGCGACAAACAGAGAGGCAGACAGAGAGAGAGAGAGAGAGAGAGAGAGAATGAAAGAAAGTGATTTAATTCAGCAAATGTGACGGGATTGTGCGGTGTCTGGTGGATCTCGTTATTGTATGGATTGCCTGAGTGAAGCCTCCACAATACTAAACCTGTTTATCCTTGTTGTTTTGGGTCCAGTTATCAGTGCACTGCCACCGTGCCTCATTTAAGGTCCTAAATCCAATCGGTTTAAGAAGAGATCCCACAAATCTAAAGGGTTTGCATTAGGAGTGTTAAAGTGGCGCGGGTAGAATGTGAACATTTATCAGAGTGAAGCTTTTCAAAAGACAACCTTTCCTGTGAATTTGCAACAAAAGGTTTCCCCTTCGTTCTTTCTTAACAGCGCGTTTTAAACCTGTTTTCTCCTTGGAAAGAAACTGGATTTCTGTAATGAGCTAGTGAGTCAGAGATTCTCGTGGCTTAATTTCTTTAAAATTCCCATCCCCCACCCATTTTTTTCTCTTTCCCTCACCTCACTCTCTCTTCGCTCACTCTTTCTCACTTCATTTCTTGCACTCACTGTCTCCCTAAATGGGCCAAGGCAACTTTTCCTTGCTGTCTACTGGGAGACGGAAGTAGATTAAGGCTATTAACAGGCAGAAGGATGCTGATCAGCCTTCCTGGGCTCTGGTCTAATGCCTGGTCCACACCAAGCTCTCTATCTTGATGTTCCAAAATCCTAGACACCCTTCAAAATTGATGTGTTTATTTGTTTGGTGACTGCGTGTTAGCTGGTGAAAGTGTTTTTCTGTCTGACACAGCCCATTTGACTCCCTCAAATATTCCCCAGTACAATCTAAGGGTGTCATGCAGCGACCAAAAAAGAAAAAAAAAAAAAAAGAGTGCGCTCTCATTCACATCTGCAAACAGCACATAGTAAAGAGCAGAAATGAAAACATGGTGCAGGCATGCTGGGTCTGTTTATGTTGTTTATGAGTGAACATGCTGCAGTGCAACACACAAAAGCAAGACAGACAAAAACTCTGCTATATTTAGACGACAAAGTGTCATAAACTCAGGCTAAAGCGGAAAGAAATAAACAAAAGAGAGAGAGAGAGAGAGAGAGAGAGAGAAGGAGAGGGGGGAAAAACGCAAGGCGGTCCAGAAGCATCCCCTGTCATGGTGCAATCCCCCATGTCCTAATTACACAGGCTTAGAGGAAACGGAGGATTAGCCACTGATTCACCACGCTTCGCGCCTCATCTTCTAATAAGTCCCCTTCTTGTCTCCTTGCCACCCTTTGTGCCGCCCCCCCATCTCTCTCTCCAGGTAAAGGTAGAGAGATACTTTTGACCTGTAGCTTTCAGACACTCTTTGCTCCTCTTTTCCGACTCTGACAACACCGCCTAATCCAATTTTTTACAGTAATCCAGGCCGCAGACTTGTTTTGTTTGCTATTCTCAGCATTGTATGTTCAGTGTGTTGTCTTCATCACTGAAGCTTTGGATGCCATTCTTATGAGACCACATTTTGCTTCGTGTGTTGGAGTTTGCTAACCTGACACCTGGAGAGATTGTATATATTTCACATCCATCTAGGTGGCTGTTAGGAGAATTTTCTTTAGGGTGGCGGAGCTATGTAACTCAGATACCATGGATATGTTGGTGTTAGATTCCTGGAGCCGCGGGCCTCCGACAACCATCCTCAACAAGAACCTTGTACACATTTCTGACATCACTCGGGTTCCCAAATAGGTTATGCCATGGTATTCCCCTATGTGAGCTCTACATATTTTCAACTAAGGCTCCTTAAAATATGTTATCCTTTGTTCTTACCCTACATGGACAATTCTTTAGGTCAACTAAATGCCAGCAGAATGTTTGGAAACATGGACGACTATATATACTTAAACAGCCTCAGACCAGTCTTTGTTACACTTTGTTACACCATTCGTGTGGACCTTCCATTCTTTCAAGTATGAACCTGGGCTAGGCATCCCTACAGTGACACCACATAGAAGGTGTTTAGGAAGGGCAGAACCTTTAGAAAAACTCTGGATCCATTGAAATGGCCACATTTATTTCAGGCCAGTCAGAACCGCAGAACATGAGGCACTGATGGCAGTAGATGAATTATGCAGTTTTGAGTTGGGCAAGTCACGATTAGTTATGTTTGCATCCATGAATTAACTAGATTACTTACTAAGTAGCTGCATTTTAAATTCATGAGAAAGTTTCTTCTTGCTGCTTTATCCCTCTTATCCATGTACCCTGCCTCTTCTCTGACTTGTATTTGGCTAATTAGTTCTCAGAGAACAGCAGACTCAACAGTTGATATGTGAAGCTTGTCTCCAACAGCATACCTTGCTATCAGTCTGTTAGATTATGGAGCTGGTGGTGATTTACAATCAAGCCTAGGCGGTCTGGATAAAGTAGCTCCTCCCTCAGCTGCTGAGCTTCACCCGGGTCACCAGTGTCTGCAGCGTCTCGCTCTCTGGCAGCTCGCTCGGTAAAAGCATGTTTGATTAGGTGCTCTGTGAGTCTTGGCAGTGACAATGTTTCTGTTCATGCACATGGACTACAACTCCCCACTTCATGTTTTTCCCATACCTTAAAGCGTGAATACGTTCAATGCATTACTTACAGCAAAGCAGATTTATTTGTGCATCTGTGTGTATTAACAGTTAATATAAAGTAGTACAACCTCTCACTGTTAAATACGCACTTTTGGAAAGATTGTCTGCTAGGACTTGTGTATTTTTGGGTGATTATGTAATTTTCCCCTTATCTAACCCAACTCACTTGGGTACCTGTCTACCTTAGAGGTACATTTCATGTTGCCGTTGTTTTTAGAGACGCCGTTTTTGTTTGTCAGTCAGATTGTTTCTAAAACTGCACCGATTGTTTTCTTCTCCATTTTAATTGGCTTTACAGTATATGAAGGCCTCGGGGGACCCCAGTCAGAAGTATCTTCTTTTTTTTTTCTATGTAGTTCATATTTGCATCAACAAGAATTTTATATTTATACTCTTTACTAAATTCTTAAAGGCACTGTAAGAGGTTTTCATGATGTGCTAAATCTGGTGACTCTTTTAGACAAGACAAGTAATGTTTTCCTGGATGAGGACCGCATTTCCCATGAGCTTTCATGAGCATCATTACAGACTGTCAGACAGAAACATGCATTTGTTATGAGAGCAAATGAAAAGACAACAGATCTCCTTTTTAAAATTACTTGTACTTATGTATTTGGACGTAGGTAATGTAATGATAACTCCTAAGTTGGAATGCCTGCTGCAATGGTTGACCTTTGGTACTAGCATATATCCACCCTGATAACACACAGGACAAGGAATGGACATTACACTCATGTTAGTATATTTATCTTTATCTTCATAAGGCACTAAAAGTGAGTAAAAAGTGAGTTATATATAGTTAATCTACTATGTAGGTCTTGTGGAGGCATCTCTAAATGAGTGACACAATTTCAAAATCAATTAAAAACTCCTCATAGCAATCAACAAACTAAGTGCTGGTGTTCATCTTTTGGGGGGTGGAAATTTCTAAACTAATGAAACTTGGACCTAGTTTGCACTTTAATATCTCACTCTGAATATGCAGCACACAGTATTAGAGATATGGTAATGTATTGCGGCTAATTAGTGTAAATATCCTTCAAACAGCTGCCATGTATACACAGATTACAGTGTAGTCCTTTACTGATGAACTGTTGTTATTTATTCTCTCCCAGGTTAATTGGTTGATAAAAATAGCCTGATGACAGCAGGAAGGATGTAGAGACGTCCCTCTCAGACATGGTTGTCTAATAGCTTGCCTGTGGCTTCTCTGCAGCAATTGCTCCACCATTAGAACACTTAAGCAGTGAGGGGAAAAGGAGTTGAAGAGTGAGCTGTAGCCAGAGGAAGCGTGAATTATACAGGGTCTTAAGTTGGAGGGTTGGAAAAAAGCTCTCAAGTTTTTTTTTTTTTTTTTTTGGAAACTTTGTTGATTGACCTTGCAGTATTCGTTCGGCGCTTCTGATGGATGAGAACTTAAAGACGGTGTCTTCCTGATGTTGTCTCCCTCTTATGTTATTTGAAAGCACCTCAGTGAAGCACACTCTAAACTTGGTTGAATTCGTTGCTCAAACACAGCTGTGGGAATTTTCTGAAGTGGGCCGTCACACGTCACGGATGTGGTTACAGATAAACATCAGATTGTCTGTTCTCAGCATTTTTCAGCCTTGGACGGGTTCCCATGGCCGTTCATTACTGTTGAAAACCTGTTTGTCGAGTTTTCAGTCTAAAGTCTGATTGTCAGCATCAGATAGTAGAGAAACGATGAGATCCCTTCATTTCGTTTCCTTTTTTTTTCATACAGGTGTCCCAAGGCCAAGCTTCACTTACAATTAAAGTGAGCTGCAACCCTTTGATAACTGAGATTATAGCAGGAAGCACAGGTCTAAGCTGTGAATGAGGAGTCTAAAGTATGTAGAAAAAAAAAAAACATACAGGATGAACAAGAAGGCCATTCATATTTAAATGGAGTATCTTTTAATGAGCTTCTTTAAAAAGAATCAATATTGGAGCTGTAGGCACACAGACCCAGGGTCTGAGTGCATGGTGCAAATTGACCTTTTCAAACAAATAGGAAAGATGTGGTTGAAGATAAAAGACAACAGTGATGTAACCAGGGAGGTCACTCATGAAAAAAGGTATTCACAAGGGCCAAACCGTACTTTGGGACCCTCGCTCCTGTTGAAAGGAAAGCACTGCATGAGAACATTCATCATGCCCCTCATCCCTGCAAAACCCACAGACTTTTCTCGCCACCCACAGCACACAACCCTGCTCGCTCATCATTGATTAGGCTTTGTGTGTTTGTTTTTGTTTGAATATGAGCTTATGTTCCTCTTCCTCTTCCTCCCCACTCCTCCTTCTCCCCCTCCTGTCTGTTTTTTTATCCCTCTTTCTCCCATGCATAAATACTACCTCCTCCGGGTGTTCTTTGAACAACTTAGCCAGGCATTAGCTGTCGGAGAGGGGCCTGGCGTTTGCGAGGGAATGCCTGAAGAGAGGACGTGTTTGATCCTGAGATATATGTCCTTGATTCAGTCTCAGCTTTGCCAGCCACCAGGCACCCCCCCGCAGCTGCTGCCAAGCATTTCCTACTATGCATCGGTATTCTCCTGCCTCCCACTGTGATAAAAGCTATTACACTGGGAGGAGGTAGCCGTCTCATTGTGCTGAGCTACCCGCTGCACTAAACAATCCAGACCTATCCCCTTAAATGTACCACAAAAAAGCTTTAAATGAATAATTGTATGTTAATTTATCAGATAATAGCAGTGAAATGTTTTAATTGGTACACAGCTACATTGCTCAGATATACTGCAATAATGATGTACTGCTTAAACAGAATGAATACAAGTTTGATGGGACACCGCTGGCCTAAGTTCACCCCAAATACATGGGTGGTCCCGGTTTGATTCCCACCCGCAGCTCCTTTCTCCCTGAAGTAAATCTTACAAAGAAAAGGTTAGTTGCTAATCACCATTTAAGTCACAACAGAAGCACAATTTTCTTGTTCTGGGTGGATTTGAAGTGAAGAAGTAGGCCATCAAACTGAGAGATACAGAACCTGCAGCAACAAAGAATACAGCAAACCAACACTTTCAAAATACCCCCCCATACTGCAACCTCCTGAAATGATGTTGACAAAACATACCGGCCAACTGCAGAGAACAACCTGTTTTCCCAGCATTGCTCTGTTTGAGAATCACAACAACATCAGATGCAGTAATACACTTGAGTAATGTTCTAATTTTCACCAAAACAATTCTGTGAAAAAGAGGAAGGGAATATAAACTCACGAGGTCTGTTTGAAGCGCTGCAGAAATATCACTGTTTTTTTTTTGTTATTACTCGGGGTCTACGTCCTCGTGAAACTACATTCAGGGCTGAATTAATAATAGATTCAGGAGAAAACATCAGTTTTTATATAACACCTAATCATTTCCAGTTTCAAATAGTGGCAACTGTAAGGTTTACTTGAACAGTGAGTACCATAGTCAGTTATATTTTTTGCTATGTGTGAAGCCAGAGGATAAAACTGCTCTCCAGTCCACACTGTAAACTGTGTTTCTGAGAAAAACATCCACCCGAGTTTTAAATCCTCCTTTTACCTGCTTTTATTTTGTAGGATGGTAACTCTAAGAAGTCATGAGATATTTACCAAACACTCAGCTCAGTCAGAGAGGAGACTTTCTCATCTGTGCAGTTCAAATATTTAGTCGCCCTGATTGGTTGAGAATTAAGGGTAGGGGTGGGGGGGGTGGGGGCGGGGTAAGAAGGGGGAGGGGACGCATGGATCAGCTGGTCTAGATAGCAGTCGGGGAGGAGATTAAAAAACACAATACCACACACACACACACACACAACATGTGCGCATAAACACACACTGCGAGCTCCCTCAGGTGAACAGGTGCAGTCATGGTCTGTCACAGATGCTCGGCGTGATTCGTCAGCTGCCATTCCTCCTGTCCACCTTGGGTAGGTTGGTGGTGGTGTGGGGCGTGTGTGTGTGTGTGTTCGGGGGGGGGTAAATATTCACCACAACACAACCTCAAAACACACAAACAAACTCACATTATCCTGCATCACTCTCCATCTTCAGAGGCGGCTTTGCCTGTACGCTCAGCTGTCTAATAGCCACCCAGGTGTGTATGATGGTAGAACGATTCACCCTCTTTGTAATGGACGCTTAATCACTTTGTGTTTGTAGCTTTTTTACTTTACCACACTGCGAGTTTTTCCTCTTTCTGCTATACTGTTAGCCTGCATGTACAGCTCTCTCCTTCTCCCTCCCTCTCCGGGAAGCAGAGTGTGTGACAGAGGGACATTAATCACAGGGCTGGGTAATAAAGCGAGGAGGGATGGGCATGTAGGGCCAGGGGGGGCAGGCGTCTGGAGGGAGAAAAGGGTGTTTAGGGAAATCACACCATGCTTTATGACACACACTGATACACAAGCACACTTTTACAGCCACAGGTTTAGGTGCACATCCTTCATGCAGCATACAGAAAGCTTCCAGCCTGAAAGTTTGAAAAATTAGATGGAAGGAAGCAGAAAAAGACTCACAACTTAGGTTTTCAGGAAACTCTGCCGTTTACTTTCTATTAGCCGGCGTTAAAAAGGAGGTCTTTGCCTTCTGGCTCACCCGTGTGGCCTTCATTAATTAAGAGTTAATTTAGTAAAAGACTTTTCTCTGGAACAAAAATAGAAAAAATGTTTTTAATAATTTGGAAAGAAATGAGAGGTATTTTACAGCTCAGTAGAAGAGGCTCTTTCACGTTTTCTGTGATGGTGAGAAACCTGTGGGAGGTTTTCAGGATGCTGATATCTCCCTGTGATATCAGATGGTGATAAAATGCATCTGTTTGAGCGTGATTACCAGCTAAATGACAGAAAACAGTCTTTAGGAGTCCACTGGGTTTTATTACATTGAGGGTTTTTTTCTGCTTCTGCTTTTATTTGTGACCCCTCTGGGTTATTGGAGTTTTTTAATATCAACATCATTTGTGTTGACATTTTACAGTGACCACAGGGTTGTGGATCATACCAAGTAGTATTGGGGTTGATTTTGTGTGTGTATGTGTGCCTGTCTCAGTGTGTCCCAATATTATTATTTTGTGTTTGTTTACTATCTGTTCAGACTAAATTTGCATTGTTTTCTTTCAGGAGTTTCAAGAAAGCAATTTTTATAAATCCGTTATGATGGATATTAAGTGAGACATAATATATAGTCAACAGGTGGTGATGCAAACGAGGATTTTGACAGGGTAAGCAGGACGCCAATGGGAACCAGAGGATGTCATCGCAATTGTAATATAAATAAAACAAACATCACAAGTTTTAATATTGTGACTGTCACTGCCACTTTGGGTCACTTTGGAGCAACCAGCAACACAGAGATGACCTCGCCATCTCTGCTGCAATTGCCTGGATTGCAGGACAGAAGGAAACTACACGATGTAGGACGCAAATAGAAACTACATTTTGTGTCAACCGACAGGGGCGAAATGTGCCAGAACCTTTTTCACAGACTGATTCATTATGATGTGTGATCAGGTTGCAGAATTAAGTATCATGATATCTATGAATTAGGTCAGAATGGTAATATCTGATTGATCAGAACTCGAGAAGAAGAACTTTATATTTTCCAGAGGGGAAAAAAAAAACTATTTCTGAGTTTTTGATCTAAAGTATAACGTTGTATGTATAAAATAAATACCCTTAGTTGTCATCTATACCCTTAGAAATATATACAGATATACAGAATTCCTATTCAGTGCACAAAGGATGTTTTAACACTGAAATCTCCAACTGCTTTTTATAAACAGAAATTTCAAAACACATCACACACAGCAGCGTTAAATAGTTATTACAAATCCTATAACAAATCCAACCCACTTTCTGTCTCCTTTTCTCAGTTCAGTCCAGTTTCCTTGATAATTTTAACTTCATGACTAGCCATGCCATCAAAGCCCTCCATCAGTTGTTGCCAGGGTATTACAGGCAGACTTGGGGGAACCTCCCAGGGACAGCCTAATGTGCAGTTCTCGCCCTCTTGCTTTAAATACACTGGCCATTCACTACAAACTATGTTTTAGACGATCTACTTTGATTTTAAATGGAATTCATTATTGAAATTATTCATTCAAATGATACATAATTCATTCTGCGAGAACTGCCTCTGAAAATGTTCCAGTCTCTCCAAAGAGCTGCATGTAGGAACAGATTTTTACATTTTAGATAAGGAACATCACTGGTACAGAGAGGAATGAACAAATCTTTCATTCATTCATCTTTTATTTTTACTGCCCTCTTTATGCTGAACACTGTCTAATGCTGACAAATAATGCAGTGAACAGGATCATTTCCCCCTTTTGTGGGGATGTTGAATTAAGGTCCGTCTAAAGTGCTAAGGGTTTCTCTGACATTGTGTCCTTTTGCCTTTAGCTCAAACATTTCTTAGGGCGGCTTTGCTACTTGTGTAACTGTTTCATGTGCTTTTAGCGGTAAAGATAACTGGCAGCTACACAGCTATCCCATCTAACTCATTGTTACCCAGTCTTGCTATTTTGCCCTACAGCAAGTCAATTAACCCTGCCAGAGGTGCTAAGATAGCTGTGTCTGTGGGCTTTAAAAAAAGGCGTCTACAAGTACAAAGAGTGTGCTGAGTTAATTAAACGTCTTTTGTTGTCAATGGAGGTGTAATAAATATCTGATTTTAATCAGACGTTCGGGTCAAGTGTCTACAATGGGGCTGCAAAGACACAAACATCAACTGTGCCTCCCTCCTGACAATTCAATCAGAGTCTCAGTGACACTTTCTTGGTAAATAAAGTGGAATTTGTGTCTTTCTTTTTTTTTTTTTTTTGGTGCCTAATACATTTCAGTCACGCTTTACACTGAGTACTCTGGCTGCATATCATTGCATCGTCCTTTGTCTCATTTCCATTTGTTCCCATTTGGTTAAGGGCCAACATAGATATTATAAAGCATGCTGGGTATTTTGAAGGCTGGTATGCAAGATGAAATTTAAGGACACATTTTTCTAAAGCCAAACAATATCCGTGCACATAGATAGCAGACTTGATAAAAGCGAGAGCTCCGAAAGATAAAATAGTGTCTGCCTGTTGTAAACATAGATTGATATCTTGAGGTTGGCGCTATCTTGGGGTTTTGACTTTACGACAAATACTACTTTTGTTGTAAGGACACGAAAGAAAAAAGTAATGATGGATGGGGGACATCTACAGAGAGGATATCAACAGAAAACATAAGGGTGGATGAAACTGAGGGTGCATTAGCCCATCTTTGAAAGAATATTGGAACAGTGATGGAAAAAAGCTTGAGTCTGCCTGTCATTTTAGCAGGTCAGAGGACGATCCATCATACCATATGGTAATACTCACACTGCAATTCTCGCAAGTCTTACCCTTGTAATATGGGAGACTTCCACAAAAGTGTTTGCTTCACCACAAAAAGCTGCCACACAGCAGAGAATAATCGTACTATTGTATGCAGTACAGGCGGTTGGAGAAGCAGCATCAGTCTGCATCTGGGTCCTTCCCTTTCCCCAACACACATATGTATGGACAGCAAAGAGGGTAGACGACTGTCCAACAACTGAACCCAACCTTGATACAACCATCTCACTCAAATTAACTGTTGAGTTTGGTCAAAATAACACTAAAGCAACTTATCAAGTCCCACTGAGGGTGGCTAGCATATTGGTGCTAACCTAAGTATAGTGATAGACTTTCACTGGCAAATTCAAACATCTACCAAACTAATATCACTCCACACTGTCGAGTGCTGGGACCACTACAAAGGTGATAAGTTCTAAGAACAAACATCCTGCTTTAAACAAGAAGTGGGCTTAACGTTTGTTGAAATACCGATCCAGTGAAAGCCATTGACCTTTATTGACTGGTTAATGGCACATTATGACAGAGTTCCAATCGGTCAAAGCAGCAGACAGTTTGAAAGCCTGATGCAACTTCTGGGTGATATTTGCAAGTACCAAATAGCAGAAAATAGTACAGCGAACTCTAATAACGCTGTTTTCTTATTTTTATTTGTATTGATTTTATATATTGAAAAATGGCAGTATGAATCAGATTATTGAAGCTTCATTATATTATTAAACCATATTTATACCTGTGAGTTGATGTGAACTGTATTTATTTATTCTTATTTGTCATGCTCTATCTTTGTATCAGTATGATTTATCCTGAATCATGCTCAGCCCTGACAGAAATATTGGAGAGACTGTCTGTGCCCCTGGTAGCCAAATCATCACAGGCAAATATGTCCTTGGTGGAGGCTTCTGTTGCCCAACCCAGAGAGCAAGTAGAGCCCTGTTGAAGAGACAAAGAAAGAAAGAGAGAGGGAGGGATGAAAGGAGAGAGGGGAGGGAGGGAGGGAGGGAGGGGTGAATGTCACCCTTGCTCTCATATGTCATATTGTTAGCCATAGATATGAGGAGAACGCCTCAAGGTTGAACGTGCAGCTGAGACATGAATAATCTATCAGAGGTTTCCTCCGACTAAATAGAGGGAAATATGTCTGCATGGATTATTTATGCTTTAATATGCACTCGGTGAATGGACAATCACCTCTGAGAGCATGAAGACATCGTAGGGGCCAAGTTAATTGTGTGTGTCTGGGCTGCATGCGACTTGACTGTGGGAGAAGCAGTGGTCGTCCCGCTGTTCAGCTTGGTTACACGTAGAGTCTATGTTGGTGATGGATTACAGTAATAGCGTGTTCTGGTTGGGCAGCGTGTACGAGTTTGTATTATGTACATAGTGTACAGGCTTTCATCCATATCATCGATCTTTGCGCTTTGACATGTTGTTTCTACTTTCTTACTCAAATCTAAAATCACTCTTGCACAGACACACACAAATGCTCCACGGCGCGTGCAGCGCTGCTCGGCCCCCCCACACACCATTTAAATGTAGTCCATTTCAAACTGGTCCAGCCTCTGCTTTCCCAGCTCACCTTATTTCCTCTTCAGATGACTGCCTCGACATGGGAAATGTCAGGCTCTCTCTCTCTGCCTGTGCTGTTTGGCTTCTTCAAACATTTGTGAAGTGTTAAGCTCATCTCTGCAGCTTAGGAGGGCAGTCTCTCAGGAATCAAGGCTGCTGACCCGCAACACAGCACAGACAGCCTAGCCAAGTGCACTCAAGCATATCCACTCCGCGTGCTTATTTGCATCAACGAAAGATTGTATTAGTCCCAAGTTTGTGGTCTTTTAGAGTAGCACTCTCGCCATGCTACAAAGGTCCATGCAACGCATAATGGAATTGATGGGGTGGCTTTATATCACCCCCAACTGTAATCTTATCTTCTCACATGAAGTTGAAAATAATACTCTTCAGCTCTGAGTAGCCTCATTTCAAAGTGCACGGCCATGTTGTAGTTCAAACATTTCTGCGTGCCACTTGAGTTTCCACATGATCATTGGGCTGTGCAAACATCAACAGCAGGAATTAAGCTCCTATGAATAGACTTGCCTAATTCCTTTTAACAAAGAAAGCTGTCTGCATAATGTTGCCGTTTGTTTTGTTCTAAAAAAAGCTCATTTTGCCATGACAAGATGGTGCTGCATTGCTATAGGGAAGTGTGGTGTTTGTCTGCAGCGTTGGGCTCTGCAAACAGACAGAGATGCATCCCATATCTCAAAACCAATATGCAAAGTGGCTTGAGCGACTGCATTTGGTTCTGGGCCTGTGCAAACAAACTATGGATTTAGGTGGGCTGCAGTGTTAAAGGCTGTTTGGTTACTGCAGTCTTTGGTGTGTTTGCCTGTGAGTTTACACTTCTTGTGATTATTGATGGAGACCTTGTTAAGCACAATGCTGAAACGTGTCAGGTACAGCACTTAAAATCGTGTTGAAAAAATGTAATTAACAGCCAGTGTTTGATGTCTTTTCACAGAGGTGGTGTTTCTGGGCACTTTGTCACATGATTAACCGTCTGATGTATGGATGAGGACGAGTAATAAGGAAGCCGTTGTACCAATTTCACACGTGGTTCCTCAGTGGTGAGGATTTTGTATTTCAGTGTATCTCCCTTGGTTTCATCCCATCCAGCCAATGGAAAAATTCCATTTATGGGACAACAGATGCTCTGTTTTTTCCCCTCTCTCTATTTTTCACTTCATGCCCAAGAGGAAGAAAAAAATCTGCTCCTCTTTTCATTTTATTATTATTATTTTAACCAAGTTCTGGATCTGTTTGACACAGGCATGAACACTCCCATAATCAGCCAGAGTGTGCATCCTCCTGAATAGAGATGAAAGAAGAGAATACACACTCAAAAACACACACGCTTATACACACATGCTTGTGCTGACGACAACAACAAGGAGCACGCAAATAAACAGGCACAAACACACAGGGAAGAAGCACAAGCCATTTGGCACAGTCTCACTGTCTAGGGAGGGCTTCAAAGCCCACTGACATGAATTTATGATAACGGCACTATGCCTTTGCCAAACCTCAACTGTTGTTGTTTTTCTCTCGCTCCCTCTCCATCCCTTCTGTATGCTCTGCCATCCCCTTGATCAGAGCTTTGGAAAATGCTAGCAGGTGTCCCCCAGCCCCTTGGAAAAGTGTGTGTGTATGCGAGTGCAATCTACAGATTTTGGAAAAGGTCTTCCTTTGCTGGCTCCTCCAATTTTACATCATTTCATTAGGCTTGGCTCTATTTCTCCAACTTTGGGATGCAATCCTTTGTACAGTTCAGTTTTATAATAGTTCTGTGATTCTATTACCCTCTCCCTGTGTGGTTTTTACTGTTCTATGCACACTACTGACATACATATCACTTTCTTCTCCATCCATCCCCTCTCCCTTTCTCTCTGTCTGCAGATGAGGATTGTGTAAACTGTACAGAAGAATGCAGAGTTCTGGGTCATTCCGACCGCTGTTGGATGCCCCAGTTCCCCGCCGGAGGAAGCCAGGCAGAGGGCGTCGACTACCGCAACAATATGTTTGTACCAGCAGGGATGGAAACGGTGCCGGAGACGGAAACCTACGAGACTGTCAACCCCAATGGCAAGAAGACATTTTGTACCTTCGGAAAGGAGAGGCGAGATCACACCATCCTTGTTGCCAATGTCAAGCCCTACCTGAAGGCGAAACGCGCCCTCAGTCCACTGCTCCAGGAGGTTCCCTCAGCCTCCGGCAGTCCTACCAAAGGCTGCTCCACCATGTCTCCCTGTTCCTCAATCAAAAGCCCAGCTGACGGAGCTGAAGGCAAACCACCCCCAGCCACCTGCTCTGGTCACTACGGGCCTCCTGACGGCCAGTACCTCTCACCAACCAAACAAAGCAGAGAACAGGGGGTCTACCCACCATTGCCTCCTTCAGATCCAGTAGCCAAGGTGCTCGCAGAGGCTCGCTCCAGGATAAGCCAAGAGGCAGCAGGTGAGATGGAGTCTGTCCTAGAGCAGGTGGAGCCTGGGAACGCAAACCGTGACAGAATGGACGCTGACCAGGTGGTGAGAGACATCGACAAACTATTGCAGGACTGCAGAGGAAGTGAGGCCACTGGCACACTCAGGAAGTGACACAAAGAACTGAAAAGGAAAAAAGTGGGGAGGAAGAGAGAGGGATAGGATGCTATTCCATAAACTCTTATGCCAAAACTTTCACCAAAACAAATCAGAAAGGTTAAATGGCTCTTATGATGGAGCTTTTTTCACTGTATTTGTTGTTGAAAAGTACCGACACTGGACGGAACACAGGAACATTAATAATGTCACAGATTTCAGTCCAGTTTTGGTGCTGAGACTCTTACCAACAGACACGAACTTGGTACAGGTCATCTGGATTCTACCGAATTTATAAACTCTTTGTTTTGGATTCTTAAGCAAACTGCAGAGGCTTTTGCTTCTGGCACCTCGTAAAACTATTATCTAAGTGCCCACCAGCTCATAAGTGTGTTGTTCATGGTCTCTTGTGAAACCCTACATATCCAAGTGTGTGTAGGTGGATTTCTGTTATGTGTGATGGCCATAGAAACTGAATGCAGAAGGACTTTTAATGGTCAGACACGACAATCGAACAGAGAAATTCTAATCTATTCGGGACGGTGAAAACATGAAACAACCTTATCTTTTCTGACTTCAATGTTGGCGTAAAACGTGATGGATCTTGTACCTGAACACGAGGACAGATTGTTGGATCGGGGAGAGGGGGGGGGCGTTCGCTTGGGTTGGCTGTGGACTCGGGGGTCGTAGGGGCTTCGATGCTTCGCTGAAGGAGAATTATTAACAGTGTAACCATTGTTTCACCTGTCATTTGTAGCCACATGTGTAAGTTGTGTCTGTCTCACGCCTCTATTTAAACATTCATGTTGCTGACCGGTGTAGCTGCACGCACCAATTTTACACATGTGCACTACGCTTTTGCGCATCCACGTGCTGACACACTCACATGCACTGATACTCCAAACACACACACACACACGCAGACACATAGATACACAAACTTATGCTTAAACACAAGTGGCCATCTGTGTAATTGTCTTCTACATGAACATCATCAGCTTCAGTCCCTTGTGTACAGTGAATAATCATGTGTGTGACTCTGCCTTAAGGCAATCACAAGTTGTATAAAAAGGGACATTTTTCCTCAACTGTGAAAAAATGATATCTATATGATTATATAGATGATTATATGTATGATCCATGTATAGTGTCCAAATATTAACTGAATATTTATACATTTTTTAAGAAAAAAAAAAAAAAAAGAAATGAGGAATCTCAGCAAAAAAGTGTCCTCAAGTAAAGGTCAAGACCGGGGTATAAACTCAAAGAACTGCAAAGGACACTGCCATTGTTTCAAAGTACCCAAAAATATAAACAAACAACAAAATGTCCCTTCACATTATCACTATACATAATATCATTATATGTGTAAATGTATCCAATTTAGATGTGTTTACATCAAAAAATTGACATATTTTTATTGATTTTACTGCAATTTCTGTGCATTTGAGCCAAATTGTTATGTGTACAAAAGCTATATTGTGTATTTTATTAAATTAATATATAGTTGTGTTGCAATATACATGGGCTTATATTGTATTTGGCAAAAGTTGCCTTAGTAGCTGTCGAACTCTGTGAGTTTGCTTTAGTTTGGGTTTTTTTGTTGGTGTTTTTTTTTTTTTTTTTCCTCTCTACTCTGCATCTTTGCAGGCTGGCTTCAGTGCTTTTGAGATGTCGCCTCTTTTTACCCTGAGATCCAGCTGGATCAGAAACAATAACTGTTAAAAGCTTAATGAGCCAGCTGATCTAGAATACAATTCAAAAACCAACAACAAAAAGCAACAACCACAAGAAGAAAAGAAAAAGAAAAAAAAACCAGTTTGAATATTTTTACTGAGCAAGATTTTTACAGGGCAGCTAGTTTTCTTTAACAATAAATAGGATGCGGATTTTGTGTTCATTACGTTTTTACATTCTTTCCAAAAAAAGAAATCTGCCATATGGAAGGTGGAGTGGTTTCCTTGGTGATCATAAAACTGCCTTACTGTCTCTGCGGAGAGCTTGTTGTATCTGTGGAGCTTGTGACTGCTTCTAAAGCCCTGGTCCACCAGAATGTGCATTTTCTACAAAGGACCAAAAGAGGTTCTTTTTCAGCAGTCTGTGTTGTTTATGTATGTACTCCTTCTCGATACATGTTAGAAGTCTCATTCTTTGCGGGGAAACTTGACATCTGAAATTCTATCTGAAGTTACTTTTGGATTTGATGTCTTAGCTGTTTAGGAACACGGTTTATATAACCAAGTGTCTTCACATTCAGGCTTTCTTAAATAAAAAATGATACATTTATTTTTGAAAATCTTGGCACATTTCGGCCACCCTCTGAAATAAGGATTGGAGGTGCTTTTTCTAATATTCTCTGTGCGTTAAATAAGCAGAACAGTAGGCTATTAGACTAGATGTGTTCTGGGGGAAAATGACCATAATCACCAAATCTATGGAAGACGCAGCCATGAGAGGGAACAGTGACTTACATTCATACAGCTCCTGCTGAGTTCAGTGTCTCTGCGCTGAGTTGGAACCCTGACAGCAGATATTACACAACCTCCAAACATGTCACAACTGAGCACTATAGTATTCCTGCTTTTGCTTTATTTTCCTAATCGACTTACATGTTTGGACATCTTCCTGCCATCGTGCTGTATCTTTTGCCTACTTGCCATCCTTTCTTTCCTCCTTTTTTATTTGCTTACTTCTCTCCGTGGCTGTTTGCTTTGTCGCCCTGAGGAGCAAAGTAACTGTTAGCTTTTCTTCTCTCTATCGTCTGTAAAGTATTTGGTTTCGGTTTACCCGAGCACTTTTTTTCCCTTTGGAGATGGCAGAAGCTGTTTTTAGAGAGGGCTTGGAAGATTTGACAGAGGAGGAAAATATTTATGGGTATTCTTAAAAAAGGTTATTTTTCTGCTGTGATCTCCTTCAAATATCCTGGAATAAATCAAGCAGGCCTGATATTAACATTATAAACACAGGACAAATGGTTTAAATGTGCCGTTCAAAAGTGCATGCTGCAGGTGAGATCTAAACAAAACTGCTGCTTTGCACACACCCACACACACAAACAACCCGGGCACTCCAGCAACACACTGCCTTTCATTTAAATACATAGCCCCTTAAAGGTAAAGCAAAGACTGAAAGAGAGGGCAAAAATACTATCCAGACAAATGTGACACTTCCACACTTGTGTTCATGCTTTATTTTCTCTCTTTATCTCATTGTGCTCAGTCTTCATGCTGGATCAAGCATTCTCTACTCTGCGTGTGTGTGTGTGTTCGTGTGGATGTGCTTGATTCCCTTCCATGTCGACAAAACAATTCCTTTCTTCTTATTTAATTTCTTTTATCTGCGTGCTAAAGATTTAATTCCAACTCAATAAAACCTACTGCTGTGCTCCAGCTTTTATTTGGGCATTATTTCAGACAAAGAGCAAAGGTCACCCCCAGGATTGTGTCTGTTACTCAGTCTGGCTGCCACAAACAGTCACTGTCACATCTAAAGTGCTGTCCCCTCTAATGGCGTTCCACTGGCTCGGCCGCTGCCTGTACACTCACGACCTGTGGGCACGAAATGAGCCAGGGTCCAGTAGATGGAGGGTTCTCTTTAAAGCCATGGCCCCTCTCTCAGGCTATTTTCTGTCTAATAGAGCAGAGGCAGCCGCTGCCGAGGTCAACTCATAGTTGGAGATTGAGCGCAATGTAAGGCCTCTCATTATTGACTAATTACGCCCTGTTGGCATCATGGACTGTTGGCAGTGCATTACTCAGATCTAGAGTGGGCTATTTTTGCCCACTTCAGCCTGTTGATTTTACCGAGTGATTAGGACAGGGCCTTGTTGAATGTGGCGAAGCGCCTCTGGTCTTTGACTCACACTGATGCAGGTGCACGCAGACTCAGACAGCCACTTGCTTAACACACACGCACACACAGACAACATGCCATTTTGGTTAGTTAAAACAAGCACCTAATGTTTGTCAGTGTTGTTACCTCACCCTTCCTCCCTCCCGCTCCTCCTCCTTTCCCCCAAAGCCCACACTGATAGCATAGAGCTCCATGCTACAACGGGCATCTGGTGCGAAAAAGATCGCCAGAGACATTCATTTGTATGGATTATTTCAACTGCTATTGTCTTAAGGCTGTGTTCATTGTGATCTATCTGAAAAAAAAGTTGAAAAGATCGAATAAAAAAGCAATTACTAATAAAATTTGTTCTTGTCCTTGTATGAGTTGGTTGAGGAACGGCTAGTCATGGCTTTGATTTAATTTCTCTCCCTCTCCAGAGATAACCTCGCACACCCCATATATTTTTCTTTGTTCCCTCAGGCATCCTCACAGCCAATTTTGCTTTGTCAAATAAGATTCACTGTTTACTTTTTAAGTGCCGGAAAAGATAAAAATTGGATTTTTCAATTGCATTCATTGGTTTTCAAATGCACATGGGTATGCGCTTTTTTTTCCTTGTGCACACACACACACACACACACACACACACACACACACACACACACACACACACACACACACACACAGACTTAAAATTTAGCTTTGAGCAAATGATTCTTCATTCATAACATTAGTTCAGATTTTTGCCACTCCAAAGATTACTGCTCCAGCTATGTTTTTTTTCCTAATTGCTTAGAGGCAAATAAATGTGTTCTTGAAATTATGTGTACTAATGTTTCTCAGATAAGATGTTGCACTCTGCTCTTCAGCTGGATTCATTTTCAGAGGCCAATTTGAAGTCTCTCCAATACTAGCCCGTGGTTAGAGGAGTATACTGTATGACTGCTACTTGCTTATTCATATCTGCTTTGATTAATTTGTAATTACAGGGTAGTAGGTGTTAGAATGGAGGATGCTCTGGCAGTGGAGGATGTGACCTCCCTCATGGCATTCAGCCCCCAAAGAAGAGTAAATCAACTTGTTCAGAGCTGGCTGCTGCTTTAAAAATTGGGGCTCTGGTTTTAATGCTTATATAGTGTCTCTTACTGTGGCTGACGAGGAGGGATGATCTGCAGCAGCCCAATGATTGACATCAGGAGAAACATGCTGCAAATGTGCAAACTCGAAAACAAACGCAGAAATCCGAGACAAATGCAAGAGGAAACATCGAAGTGCAAATGAAAAAAAGAAACATGCTGCAAAAAGCCAAAACAATTGCATTTGCAGCAAGTGCTGTGAAGTCAAAAACGCACTAAATCAGAGAACAGCTGCATAAGATAAACACTGCAAATCCAGACTTTAAAATGGAAGTGATTCAAATATGTGGGGGTGTTGCGACGCAGCTTCATCACTGAAAAAAGAAAAGGGAACATCAGACAGTGAATTTATTGTTAAATAGAGAAAGTGGCCCAATTCCAGATCAACAAGCAATATTAATATTAATATTAATATTAATATAGCCAGGAGATTTAAGGACAATCTGAACTCTGAGACAAACGGTTTTAACAACTTAGGGAAACAGTTCTAGTATAACTGATAAATTCCAGACGTCCAAATAGTTTTATGTGGTTTTGTGACTACACTGAATCATTGGACATCTTACGAAATCAGATAAGTAATTAACCAGATACTCATTCACGAAAACCAAATCCTGCATCACATCAACCTTCTCTTGGAGCGAGCGCTGTTAAATAGAAGAAAACTTTTCGTGTATGCAAATATAAAAGTAATTTGCTGGAAAGCTTGTCTCTTGCGTGTGCACTCATCTAAAGATCCATCTTAATACACTTTCAATTTTGTAGAATTAACTGGGATGGTAATGGAAGTGCTAAGTGTGCACAAAAAATTAATTTTCCAAAAAAGAACTAATTCAAATACATCAAGATAAATTATTCCAGGAATTATTTATAACTTGAAGAGGACTCGATCAAATTAATTTTCATTTTGACCACAGAGGGAATGTTTTACTGATTTGCAGACCATTGGTATGCACCATGGTTTTATTCTGTTTGTATCCAACCAGTTGCCTCGAGGCAGATAATAATTAAAAAGATAGCAGAGGAGTGCTCTTCAAATCACAGTTTTTAAGGAGTGCATGGGTTACATGGAGGCTTACTGGGCCCAGTGCAATAGTTTCTTTAAACCAATACTTCTCTTGCATAAATAGTGTCCTCTCTGTTCCACAGTAGCAAACATGTAGGGAAAAAAATCTGAATTAATCATCTCAAATTCACCAAACAAGAAAATAATCATGCAGTTTTACTTGGTTCTGAAATATTGAAGTATTTTATTTTGCACTGAGTGAGAGGTTTCAGAATGGCACCAGATAAAACAGAGAAATTTTATTTCTGCATTTTTATCAAGGTCCTTGATTCAAATGACTGTGCTAATAGGATTTAATAAAGTATGCTCTATATCGAGCTGGCTAAAAGGGCAAATGGAGTGAAGATCTTTTCAACATGAAGAAGAAAAGGTATTCATCATATTCAAGTTAAAGGACAAGGGTTTCCTTTCATTTGCGGCAGTGTTTGAGGAGGGAAGGCAAATTGAAAAACGTGAGCATGTGCGTGACTTCAGTAGCAAGAGAAAAGCAGAGAGTAGGCTCAGGCAGACGATGTATGCACGTTAGTTAGCGTGAAAGAGAGGTGGGAATATGAATGTTCATTTCAAAACAGGAACAGTCATGCATGTCAGGTTGGATTTGATGCCACCCAGAGAGGAAAAACATATAAACAAATACAGGAGGAAGCTATGGGCACAGAGCTGGAGTTGGTGTTTAAGAGAATCACTTGTAATCCAGGAGAAGAAGAAATGACACACAATCAGGGCAAAGACAATGCCTGCATAATGTCACATAACAAACACGGTGTGAATGTGCCAAGTCTCCAAAACATCTAATACAACTATTTATCTTGACTTGTCTAGAAGGCCATCCTCTATTCTGTGTCATCAGGAAACTGAATTTTACACATTAGAGCAGAGCAAATCACGTCTTTTTGGACAAACTGTAAGGTAGCGTGGATACAGAATAAAGGCCCTAAAACTAACATATGTTTCCTATATTAAAACAGTCCAGGAACTGAGGACTGTACCCGACACCTCATACCGCCAGTTCTCTTTAACATTCAAGCCCTCCGCCGCAGTCACCTCGGAATGAAGCGGGCTGTTAAGTATTCAAGTGTTTCTGACCGGAAGCGGAATAGAAAGCAGGTGAATAATGGCTCCAGACAGCCTCTGTGAAGGGGGCCAGCCCGCATCAGGGAGGGAAAAATGCTCGATGAAAAGGTCAATAAGCAACACGGGAAACTTAATATGAAGTAGACATATAATTTCCATCACATAGATTAGAGCCCCTGGCAATGTGCTGCACTGACTGACACCGCCAAATCAATTCACTTGTATCCAGTGTCTGGTATGTGAGGCACCAAGGAAGCAGGAGGACCTTTGAGTAAATGCCACCTGGACTTGAAAACCGATTCTCTCCACTTATTTGTTCGTTGAATTATTTAAATAAATATAAAACTAACTTTGGAAATTTCAGTTGTTGTGTCTTGTGTAATCTGACAGTCTTATGGCATCTTGCCGTCGTGGTGACGCATTGAGGGTACTTCCTGATGTGTTGCAGCGTATTAGTCACTCGTTTCATTTTAATTTGCACAGACATGAGCTGGTTCCCCCCAATTTTAATATCTTCAGACATTTCTTCACCTAAAGCATCTTTTATGGAACTTTTATATATGTCAGCTTTGACACCCTTGTATGGAAAAATGTAAGAACCTTATCTCAAGATTGGCTCTGCACATGCCTATTCATTCTCCCATGAAATTCACCGCCTCTCTCCTTTCATCTGTCTAACCTATCATTCACTGGGGAACTTTTCACAGTGAAATGTAAACAAAAGCAGATTTAGTTTGCATTCTGCGAATTGTCGTGTCAAACTCCAACCTGGTGACAGCAGTGATAGACGCTGTTAGAAACATCTAGACAGAAAACATCAATCTTCATTTTGACACTCATGTAGACTTTTATAGTGAAAGGCATTAGTGCTAAATAGCATTCTCTGTGTGCAAGTTATTCTAATCAAACTTGTATTTTCATTTTATCTGTATCTGTTCTTGGTGTAAGCAGTACGGAAGACAAGAACAGCCATTGATTTTTCTTTTTTATGCACTGTTTTCTCATGATTCTGACTTATTATCTTGTTATCTTGACATAACAAAGATCATTTTCTTGTGATAATGAATTCATTAATAATGTGTCCGCCATGTTCCCATGCTGAAAGTGTAACGCGCATGCGCAAAGTGGAGCATGACGTCAATGTTTTTATTGAAAACCCCAGTTTGCTTTTGACAATGGTGGGATGCAGGGTTTCAGAAATATCCCACTCTGGAGGGTGTTTTTAGAGGCCATTTCTATTATTTTAAGAAAATGATCTTTGTTATGTCAAGATAATGAAAAGGAATAATTCATTATCATGAGAAAACAAACTTTGTTATATTGAGATAGAGATAATAAGTAGTTATCACTATATAACAATGCATAAAAAAAAGAAAAATCCAAGGCCGCTCTGGTCTTCTGAAAAGCAGGAATATTTCTGCTATTATTATTATTATATTTCACATTTTTGGTGTTTCGCCATACAAAACCTCATGTCTATGTCCGCTCATATCTGTCTGTTCAACTGAGTCCACATCTGTTACTTTTTCTTATTCTGACCCAAATCCTCTGCTGTTATGATTGTAGACAGCTGCTCACCAATTAACCTGGTCTTACTCAAGGTTTCTGCCTGTTGAAGAGAGCTCTGTCATTGCCAAGTTTTTGCTCATTATGAACTTATTTGAACTAACGGACTGATTTATTTTTGATAATATGTGATGGCAGGATGAAATGATGTTTGAAAAAAGCCAGCACAGATGTGCACAGGACTTTATTTGCTCAAGTGTTGCTCCATGAGAGACTCCAATCAAACCAATGTCAAACAGTCTATTTTTACAGCAGAATGAAAAATGTTTATAGCTTAGTGTTTTTTTTTTTTTTTGCTTTAAAACCTCTCTTTAAGAACAAATGAGTGACTGAGACTAGGTCCACATATAGTCTGTGGACAAGGAACCGATAAGCTCTTGATTTGGATCCCTGTGACATCATTTCAAAACTGTTAATTTGTTATTTCATGGGTCAATAATGCAGTGATTTTATTGCTGGACTTTGATAAGTGACTAAAGAGGGCTATCACACAGGCAGGATGCACTGGGTGAAAGAGAAGACAGATACCTGAATGGCTGCACGATAACAACAGGATGTGATTTGGACAGAATGTCAGGAGGGAACAAGGAGGTCAATATTATAGTAACAGAATATGACCTTGGGGATGAACATCTTACCATTGAAGCTGTCCTCTTTTGGCAGCAATGCATCATTGATCCTTTGCTCTAATATCAATTAGCTATGGCATCATTAACCGAGCTCGAGCCCAATGTCATTTTGACAGTGCTCTGATATACCCTCAGCAACTTTTTTAGTGTGCTCTATATTTCAAATGTAGAGGAAGTTTGTGGTGTGAGTGTGATCATTTTAAAAGTTGTGTTTAGGTTGGGCAAAATTAAAAAAAAAAAAAGGGATATAATCTTCTCCTAAAAGTCCTACAGAGAAAAACTCATAATCTAGTTTGAAGTGCTGAAACAGAATATGTAAAATTTTGACATTAATTTCATGTAAACATAAATAAATGTGGATGTTTGAACACACACTCGCACACAAACCATGCATCTAAACAAGCACGTATTACTTTTGCTGCATGATAAATCTCATGTTAGGAAAAATAACTAGGGCAGATAATTAAATTTACCTTAATAGCTTGTGCTCTTTGTCTGCCATATTGACTTTATTTGATAAAATAAGAACATAGATGACATTTCCAGGCAATTATGTGAGACTATGCCAGAAATTTTATCTGCTCTGTATTTTTCATAATCAGCGCCGCCGTCTTCAGACAGGTCCTGCCTAGTGTGGCAGAGAAATACAAGCCTTTATCGCAACATCAGGCACACAGCTACAGATTCTATCATTTATATGAATTAGATGATTATTTCATGAGTATAAAATTGTTATTTCTTGCAAAAACTGCCCCACTGAAATCAAAGGTGAGAGAATTTCAGATGACATTTCAAATTAACGCTAATCTTTCTGAGCAAATTTTGTGTTTGGATGGATTAGCAGGCAAGGGACAAGGTTTTTGTGGAAAACTGTTTTTATTTGTAGTCCAAGAAGTATTCATTGAAAGTCAGATGTATGAAAAGAGCGAACTCTGTGAAGAAGAAAGAAAAACGCAGCAGATATATAACCCTGAAACGACAACTATCATGAGGTTTGGAGCTTCCTTTTCTTTTCTTTTTTTTTTTTTTCACTCTCTATAAACACACATTTCCTTAAAGTGCAGCCATACACTGTTTCATAAGTTCAACTCAGTTCACTCAGTTAAATAATCATAAATGAATAGGAGATTTTTTCCAAACTTTCTTTAACTCTCATGAAGAACTGTTGCCTCTGCAGAAGCCTCTCAAAACTGATGATTGCGCTCAGTGCACCTACTAACTTGCACATTAGCACGCTTTCTAGCTTGCCTACATCATCTGTAATTATTGGGATAAAATTATTAAGTAAAAAGAAAAAAAATGTGAAAAAATAAACAAATAAATAACTGCCACACTTTGACTCCAGCATTAAAGACTGTAAAAGTTGGCTGACAAGTTTTGGTAAAGAAATGTAGACTGGTTGGTTTGTCAATTAATGACATAGAATAATAGTCGTTCAATGACCTGTTTTCCCTCAGTTTAATATCATGCTCTTACCTCAAATAATGATAAAAGGTAAAATATTAATATCAGCCCACCAAAAGATTAAGTGTTGGAGAAGGAACATGAACAAATTAGCTGTTTTGGTGAGAATAAACGTCCAAAATCATGACCCAACATGACAAACATATCCAAGTGCTCACGGAAACATGCCAGCATTACTTTTAGGCAACAGCCAAAGTGTTCAGGGATTGAATGAACACCAAGTGAAGTCTAATTCTGAGATTTTTCTGTTTATTTTTTTTAGCTGGAAACAAAAGCATTACATTTTCATTTATCACTGCTGAGGCCGTGCCTGGTTAACCAATTCTTTCATGTGTCTAAGTTATCTTCATCTCATCTCTTCCTATCCATATTCACATTTTCTGAATCTCTTGCTTTCATCTCTCCTAATTAATCTCATCCAGGTACCATCAGGGCCGTGTCACACACTGGGGCAACTATCTCCTCCCCCTATACACACTCCTACCTTCCTATCCATTCATCACTCCACACCGTCCAATACTTCCTCATCTCGTTTAACCTTTAAAATCTCATTCCTGTGGTGTGATTGAAGCTGGGAAAGAATTCACTAAAATAAAAAACAGTTGGAACCAGCCTAGAAATGTAAAGTCACAAACCTGAAAACAAGGGTTGTATTTTGGAGGTGCCAAGGCAAAAAAAAACAATTAGATGATTTCCTCTCCTTGTCAACTGTGGCGACTCACTTTGAAGTCTACTTTCATCAAGAATCCCTCGGCCAGAATAATGCTTCAGTTTGATGGCTGAGGAGTTTGGCCTCACAAGTCAATTGCTAACAATAAAAATCTGTGAGGCATTTGTCTGCTGGGACCTTTTCAAAGAGTTGGTGTGAGCCAAACCAAACTTTTGTACGGTATTGTACGTACAACAATGGCATCTGGCAACTTCTCGTCTGATCAAAGCCTTCTGCCTCTGCCTTTCCCCTTTGTTTTCAAAGTTCATGTATCTCTAGTATGAACACAGCAGTGGGTATCACGCAGGGATGTCGGCCCCTCTCTGAACCCAAAGACATGGCTGACAAAGGCGATTAAAGCCTTTGACAGCATGCCTCCGTGTGATTAGACCATCCTTTGGAGCTTTGAACCCCAACCCTTCCAACTATTCCCCAAACTTATACGCTGCAAAGCTAACACATACAAAAAAGAAAACCACATCAATGAGGAGTGAGGAATGAAACGATCAAATGGGAATCAGCAAGGGAAAAACAAACAAAGACTTGCTAAATAAGCCGAGCGTCAGACAGAGGCCTTTTCCTCGGCTAATGGCTAGTGCAACTAGAATGGGCCCTGCGGGATTTAAAGGGCCACGTCTGACAGTTAAAGCAGTCTAAAGCTGATCTACAACAAAGTGAGAATGTGATGCATCTGCACAGCACCAACCTCGACAGGATGAGAGGGTGTAAATAACAGACACTCCCCAGAGATGTGTGCCACATAACACAAAGACTCCCTGGGTTGGGCGTTTGATTTATTCGAATGTTATCTGACATTTACTTTAGCGGCTGGAGGGAAATTACGCTTAAGGTTTCTCAATTTGGCTCAAAAAGGATACTACCTTCTGTCAGTTTCTAATCCATTACAGGTGCCACTGCGAAAAACCTGCGCTACACACGTGAACCCTGCTGTTGCTGATCACTGGTACTCCCCAAAATATGAGCATTTTTAGACTTCATCAAAAGACGGCCCTTCTCATGAACCAAAAACTCACAATTATATATATTTTTTAGATATTTTTACTTAAGGCTAAGTATAAAGTCTGGATTTTTTTTTTCACCAAGAGTCCAGATCAAAACATACAAAAACACCAGAAGGGCAAGTAGTGACAGTAGTATAACCGTAATGACG